GGGAAAGATAAAGAACACACAAAAACTTTTGATCACAAAAGTTGGAGGACCTACATTGTAATGTGCCTGTTAAAATTTTAGTCAATGATTAATTGCATTATAAATAATTGTGATTCAAATGTAATATTCTTTTTTTAAAAACAAGTTATATTAAAATTCATGCCTAACATGACCAGATAGGCTGATTAGCTATCCTACCTTCTAGAGGTGGGTGATATGGCAAAAATATAATATTGCGATACTTCAGGAATTTTTCATGATGATTTGTCACAATATTTATTTTTTCAGACATCTGATCAGTTGGAACAGAGAAAAAAGAACTAGTAGTGCTACATTTGTTTAAAATACTGTCAAGAACTGATTACAATGATTTTTATTCAATATTTGGCATATCAGTCATATGTTTGAAGAAATGTGTTTCTTGCTTTCTTTTATTTGCATGACTATGCCTCGGCCCAACGGATGAAAATGCACTCAGTTAAATTGTTTGTTGGGACATAAATTTAGGATTGCAAAAGTTAACAACTGTGAAAAATATTTGCGGTCAAGTGATTGTGCAGTAATTATGACACGCCCACATTGTACATGCATCTGTATGTTAAACTAATTAGAAAACAGTCATGGGGATTTCATTATGCTAATTGGACTTATTTACATACTTTTGTGTCTATGTTTAGCTGAAAAACCTAGACTTTGAGGAGCTACAGATGCGCCTCAGCGCTCTGGACCCCATGATGGAGCGAGAAATTGAGGAGTTGCGGCAGCGCTACACAGCTAAAAGGCAGCCCATCCTCGATGCCATGGATGCCAAGAAGCGTCGGCAGCAGAACTTCTAAGTCTGCATGAAGGAAGAAATACCCACGGAGTGAATTCAGAAACTGGCAAGCCAGATAATACGTTCCCTTTGAAGTCTTACATCCAGTTTTAGTACTGACGTCTAGCGTCTTATCGTAAGCCTCCTACTGTTTGTTGGACATGGGAGCATCTGGCTAAGTGCATTTTTTTCCTCTCTCCTTTATTTCTAGAAGACTTACCTGAGACCTGAGCCTCATATTCAGTGTTCCCCTGTGTGCAAAATTATAGACACAAACACATTGAACTTAAAACTATAAGGGAAAAAGCTACCGCATGCATCAAATCTACATAGCAGTAGTTTATATGAAGCCCTGAGTCAGTGAACAGTGCAAGGAAGAACTTGACCACAACTGGAAGGGGGGGCTTAGGAAAAATGGGTTAGTCCGTATGTCCACTTTTTCTTCTTACAAATTTCCTTTTCCACATGTATTTCTCTAGCTGTAACATCATATAATACCACTCTGGTTTCATAAATGCGGCTACAGTGAAGAGCATGATTAGAATGTCTGAAATTGTGAGGGGAGACTACACAAGAAATTGTTGGTTGGACTCCTAAGCATTATTTTAAAAAGGAAAAAACCAAAGACAATCATACAAGGGCCTTAGAGAGCTTTCAGTGGTCAGCCCAAGCTTATAATCTTAGACTTCTCTCTTTTTTTTTTATCTAAAATTAAACTGAGGACCATGATTTATTAGACTGAGATTGACTGACAAAAAAGGTTTGAATGATGTTGTATGTACTGTTTTTGCAGCAGTGATTGGAAGAAATAGAGCAATTTGTATGACAGTACTCCCCACTGTTAAGACCATTCTTAAGGGTACAATCTTGCTCTGTAAATATGCATGGACTATTTAAGTTTCATGTACTTGGTTTTTATTCCGAATGCCATTCACTTTCCTCATTTTTGAATGTTTTTGAAAGTTAGGTCTCTCTTCATGTTGCTCTATTTATTCTTTCTCTGCTAGTGCCTGAATCATGTTCTGTATGGTAAGCACTCCTGTGAGGAAGTGCAAATCACATGTCATCATCCTTCACTTTATCTCAGGGGTTGCTTAACAATAGCTTCTCTTTCTCCTTTTTGTCCTTTGTCAAGGATTCAAGACTTTTATATTGTAACCTCTGTGTCTACCAGCATTATTATTGGTTTGTCTGTTACTGGTACCTAAGCAATACCACACAATCGAACATAATCTGAAAAAAATCTCTGTAACTAAGATATCATAAATGAGGCAACTTAAAACATTATGTCCAAGAGTACAATACTGAATGATGTCATATGTGGACCTTTATGTGGATGTTTTGTTAATACTGAGTTTAAGAGTGTGTGAAGTATGGTTTATCAATGGTTGCAATGGTTTTGCAAGAACTTGCTCATGAAGTTAGTTTAAGATTGTGCTTAAAATGCCTTACATTTTCCTTTTGTGAGTTACATCAATATATTTCATTCTTTCTAACATGTATTATAGACACATTTCCACTCAGTACCCTAATTTATTATTATTCATATCGATTATTGCTGCTGTTGCATGAAAACCTTTTTTGAAATTGAAACAAAAAGCAGGCTCCTCTCACTTCTCTCTGACACTTTACAGCTCCACAAGCTCAAACAACTCTAACTACAACGTGATGTTTTATAAGGACAGTAGTGGAATTGTAGGAGGTTTTCATGTCTGCTGAAAAGTTGCTGTTTTAGAGGAAGGTTTTCTTGCAATAGTTTGTCGCTCTCCCCTGAGAGTGATCTTTAATAAAGTTCAGTTTCTTGGATCATGAGTCTTTCATCTTGGCTTATGTCGACTTGTACAACGCTCAGTCTCTGACACTGTAAATGTATTCTTAATTTTTACAGTTATGGTTTAGGATCCCTTTCTACAGATGTGTAAAACAGTGATGTTTTTGCTTTACATGCAGTAAATCACCTTACAAGAAGGAAAACATAAAACTAAGACTGATAAACAAAATGACCAGTTGCAGTGTTGCATGTTTTGTTTATTAGGCACAACCGGTCAAGTACAGTCATAAAAGTGTAAAAGTTTGAACACACCTGGTGAAATGACTTTTTGTTTGACTTTATTGTTTCATTTTTTTGTTTGATTTTCTAAGCTCAACTTATATAACAGGGGTGTCAAACTCCATCAAACAAAAGTGTATATTATAAAATCTCAACAAATCTGAGGCCTAGAAAACACCTATGTTTTTATTTCATTTTTAAATAATATTTTGCTACAACCTGAACTGGCCATTTATTACTCAAAATACCCCAAAATGTCAACCTTGCAATATTACATAGATACTTGAAATGTTTAATAGTAATATAAACCTGTAACAGTGGCCTGCCTCTTTAAATGTCCCCAGGAAAAATCTTTTTAAACCAACCAATTTGCTCCTATAGAGCGTTGTTGGGGGGAGGGTGGGAGCACATGTTAAGTTGCAGTGCATGCTGGGGATTGTAGTGCAGCACTTTTTTTCCCCCTAATAGGTTAAATTCAGCAAATAGTTATTTTGCATTAAAATGTGTAGGAATTTGTACTCTGTAGAAGACGAGTTAACTTATTTTCACTTCAATGTGATTTGACAGGACAGCCAAACTTTTGCACACAACAATAGCTTTCCTGTTAAGTTTAAATATTGTTTTAGAAATACAAAAAGAATTTGTGTTAGGGTATTTTTGTTTATTCATATCGCTGTTGTCGGAACAAAACCTTGTATCTCCAAAGTGGTAACTTTACAGGAGAAGGAAAAAACATGCTTTACTTTTAATGTAAGTCAATGGAACCAAACTTTTTTCCAAGTCATTTTGGGCCTGTTTTTTTTTTTTGTCTGTTAATCATGGAATTTACAAACAATGTAACATTTTTCAAATTGTCAAAAACTGAAAAATGGAGACAAAAATGGAGATACGTGGTTATTCCTACAGCAACGATATGAATATTGTCATGAAAATCAATCCCATAAATACGTACACTACTGTTAGAACGTTTTAAATTAATGTTTTTAAACCTGTTTGTTGCTGACAAGTGTGTAAAATGATTATAATATTTGAATCCTGTGTGACTAAACAGGTTACAAATAATTAGCAGGAGGTTGTAATAAAAATGAGGAAATGTTAGATGTGTCCAGAATGATGAACAGAGCTGTAGATGATTCTGAAATGACTGAGAAACCTGTACAGCATCGACAGTTACAATTTAATAATATTAACATCCAGAATTCATCACATTTCAAAGGTTAAATATCAAAGCAGACAACTTAAAAAATAATATAAATAGATAATTACTGTATATTATTGTCTGCCCTGTGATGGACTGGCGACCTGTCCAGGGTGTTTCCTGCCTTCCGCCCAATGACTGCTGGGATAGGCTCCAGCTCACCGCCGCAACCCAGAAGGATAAGCGGCTTAGAAAATGTGTGTGTGTGTGTGTGTGTGTATTATTGAATCCTTTAATAACTTCCCTCTACTCAGTTACGCTGAAATATTGAGTAAAACGTTTAAAAATATATATTGGCGAATAGTTCGATTCACATTTTCTACGTTATTATTGTGTAATAATTAACCAAAAGTGTTAATCAAAAGTAATGGTGTAAATAATGGTATAAACAACCCCCCAAGAAAGAACACGCGCATACAGTTCCATCATTACGGCCTTTCCAAGCTAATTAATGCGTTTATAGCTTGAGTGTTACGGTACACCTAGGTCACGTCGTGTCAAGCGCATGCGCTGTGCCCTGCGTTATTGTTCACACCCGTTTTTCGACAAACCCTGCCTGCTGTGCGTGGTTGGTTAATATAACCCCGCCCCCTTTCTGCGTTGCAATTGGCTGGAGAGCTCTCCTGCGCGTTTGGATTGGCTAGTATTTCATACCTACAATCAGTCCGCCGGGCGCAGGAGGCGTGTCTGGTCGGAATACAGGTGGGAAACAAAAACAAGGCTTTATCTCACTCGCTACGGACACCAGTGGGATTTTCACTCATTCGTAGAAGCGATTCGTCTGTCATGTCTGCGCTCATAAGAAGAATTATCAACACTGCTGCTGCTCCAGCTGCAATCGGGCCTTACAGGTACAACATACAGCATTTCTAGTATAACACTGGTTGAAACAGTATTTCTGAGTCTTCGTGCATGAGGCCGCCAGTCTGTCTGAACTTTCTGCACTGACAAAGCTGTCAGGAGTCAAATTCATACCATAAGTGAAGTGAAGTTAATGATCAGTGTAATGTTTGTTCGGAGGCGTGTCGACAGAGGCTATAGGTGAACACAGACACTTTGAAAGATATTAGTCTGCTCATGTTGGAAGAGATGGCTGCTATTCGAAGGCAAATACCATACACATCTAAAGCCCCAGTTAGACAGGGCATATATAGGTAGGTGGCACTTCTCTGACATTATCACAGATATATAAGCCTTTAAGTGCATTTAATAGATTTTGGTTACTTGTATGTTGTTTACTGCTGTTGCTTTTTCTCAGATTAACAATAACGGGTGCAAAGTCTCTGTTAGTCTAACAGACCAACAGTTTTACTCTGCAGAGAAATCCCATAGACATTAACACCCTGCTGCACAGCTGTCCATCACTTAGACTTTTTCAAATTAAGTATGCAATTATTTTAAAATTAAGTATGTAATTATATTTTATTCTGGGCACTGGCGTGTTGGGGGAGGGACCCTCTCAGCCAATGGCCTGCAGAAGAGTGGCAAAGCTAACCTGAATTATAGGGAGTTTGTTCTACTTGGCAGCTTCTAATGCTTTGTATGTTTTCCAAGTGGATTAGTATGAAGTTGAATCAGAATTGCCAGAACACCCACACCTGAATTTAGGATACTTGAAAGAAAACCATGTGTAAGTTACTGTTATTGAAAATACTTTTCAATGCACTTTTTCAGATATTTGAATATGTTGGCTCTGAATTCACCTCTTTCAGATATTAAAGATACAGTTTAAAAAACTAACATCAAACAGCAGAAATATCTGTGTTCTTCCACAGTGGAAGAGGTAAATTTAATGTGGGTCAGTTGCTAACTGGTGTATGACCAATATTACAGCAGGGGGCTGGAAAGTACAAAGTCCAAACTGTCTCTGTAAGCTGCTGCCTCCTCATTACATATTAAGAAATCTTTCTCATGTCTGTTAAAATAAATCTATGGTTATTACTCATGAATTCAGCCAGGCGGTGCTGGTAGATCGCACTGTGTATGTCTCTGGGCAGCTGGGGATGGACGTAGCATCGGGGCAGTTAGTGGCTGGAGGGGTGCAGGCTCAAGCCAAACAGGTAAGAATGGATATAAATGCAGCCCTTTGGCCTTTTTCAAGCTTTACCCATCTTAGCTTAGTGCATCCCACTGAGCTCAGGACAGCTCAGTTTTAATTTCTGTGAAAATATGAAATATAAAAAAATGTCCATGTCTTTTTCTATCCATTCAAGGCTCTCATAAACATGGGTGAGATTCTGAAAGCAGCAGGATGTGGATATGAAAATGGTAGGTCACCTGCTAATCGGCTGAATATTCTGCATTAAGTGTATGTATTAGTTCATAAATCATATATTTAGTCTTTTTTTTTTTTTTGCAGTTGTCAAAACAACTGTGCTCCTGGCAGACATTAATGACTTCAACAATGTCAATGAAGTTTACAAGCAATGTAAGTATGGTCTGTTAGCAACATGGTTGCATAGTTTGGCCAGAGGTGCAACTACATTTAAAAACTGCCACATGGTGTCACTGTTTTTCCATTGTGTGCTTGAACCATCACTGTTTCTCCAACAGTGTGTAGACACCTAATTTTCCAGTGTCTCCTCTGAAATTGAGGGTATTAATAGGGAGTTTGTCCCTACTTGCTGCAGTAACAGCCTCTGCTCATCTGGCAAGACTTTGCACTAGATGATGGAACATTGCTGTGAGGGTTTGATTGCATTCAGCCACAATAGCATTACTGAGGTTAACTACTGATGTTGGATGATTAGTTGTGGAAAACAAACACCACTCCAACTCATCTCAGAGGTATTGGATGGAGCTTCATCACACCAGAGAACACAGTTCCACTGCTCCTCAACCCCATGCTGGGGGGGCTGTATACCCCTCTAGCTGATGCATGGCATTGAGCATGCTGACTTTAGGCTCATTTGCAGCTGCTTCAGAGTCTCATCCTATTAGAAGTGCTTTTTATGGAGATTATACAAGCTGTCTGTACAGTTTACAGTAGCTGAATTTACTAATTAGTAGGGGTCTCTGGATATGTTTGGACATATAGTGTAACACCACTGCACCTACAGCTGTGGGTGTCTTTTGAATACAGCATGTGATACATAGAGTTGTCCACAAGAATGTTTCGGCTGTTTCAGTGTTTTTAATATTATCATGATCTACTCCTAAATATCTCACCTGGCCAACCAGCAGGTTGATGTTTTTGCAGTATGCTGCATTAGGCTCTTACAGTGTATTGGTCAAAGGGCAAACAATGGCATCTTTGGCTAGTGTTGGGTATTGCCTCTTTGATATCATGCAGAGGGGTAATTCAATCGTAGTATCTGTGTGTAAGGGGATACAGTGCAGTGAGGTGAAAAGAAAGCTTCCTCTGTTCCAGACAGCCTGTCTACACTGACTCCCAGCATGCCGAACTTTCCTTCCCCCACCATGTAAACATGGACAAAACACATCATGCCTTTTTTAATATTATAAATGTTCACATAAGGATATGAGGGCTCTTCATCATAGACAAAGAACAAGAGAAACAGTTATTTCTGTTGTATCAGGGAGAAACTCTACACTCTTAGTATTCAAGTTTCGCCAGCCTTTTAAGGTCAAGGTGACTGATCTCTGGATATGAAACGTACAGGGTGCATGTGCTATGTGGCTCACAGGTTCACTATATTAGAGTGGGAACTGAGGGAAGCGTTGTGAATTATAGTGTTCGGGATTGTCAGTAATTCATAATGTGAATATGAGTAAAAAAATACAAAGAACTGTACAAAACCCAGAGACCACCCTTCCGTTAATTTTATTTCCCATAAACAGCCATTAAGTGCAAGTTATTCGTCTTTCAGCATAAGGAAAAAAAAAGCAGGAAACATACATTTACAGAAAATTATGCAAAAACCTCCAACACTAAGTAAAATATCATTGTGCATCCAAACTCTTCCATCCTTTCTGTCCTCCCCACAAAAGCTCTCCCCAAATGAGGCACTGACATTATGCTCCCCTTCAAAGAGACACAAGCAACTACCCAGACACACCTTAGCTGCCTCACAAATGTATTTCTAAAGTGCATTTAAAAATAACTAAAGGACATATTTGTGCAATTGGATATAATTCACCTCCATAAGGAAGAGGAGAGTCAAATAGAAAATAGCAGTTTCCAAAACTAGAGTTCAAAAATTTCTGGCGTACTAAAATGTCTTAAAAGATTAAGAGAAAATGTGACTCCTAACAACTGTGGAAAAAAAAATCCACAGATGTTTCTGTCCAGCCGTCCACTGTGAGAAGACAACTCAATACTATTGAGTTTAGCTGTCAAGAAGCTGCTGCTGAGAACAGAAAAGACAAAAAAGAAAAAGGTAGAATACCAGTGTGGAGTAAGGTTTTATGTAATTGTGATTAATTAGAACATAAGAAGCAGAAAAATCCACTTGTAAGACTAAACTTTGGAGGCGTGGAAAATATCCCTGCAAATTTCTTTGAGAAACTGAAAACAAGTCTCTCAACACAAAAACAAGTCTCTCTTCAAAAAATAGATATTAAAATAAAAAAAAAAAGAATTTCCTCGTGCTGAAAAAGAATCTGTTGTACTAAATGGTTGTTTTGACTTGTAATTAAATAAATGAAAGAGTGGTGACTTTTGCACAGTGCTGTTCTTTAACTGTGTAGTGTTTTATTGATAGTGAGTTTTCCAGAGTTTATTTAATGTAGTTGTCTCCTTGATCATTAATTCTCTTTTTCTCTTTGTAGTCTTCACCAGAAACTTTCCAGCCAGGGCTGCTTACCAAGTCGCTGCTCTACCCAGAGTGAGTATGCTGGTGTAAGAGAGTGGTAGATGTAAAACTGAAGCCCATTAAATGTCTTTTTCGAATCTTCAGTTCCCAGATTTATCAAAACCTCGTGTGACTGCACATGATCAATAACTGGAGCATTTTTAGTTCTTCAACCAATCACAAGTTCTACTTTGTTCCAGTTCTACTGGTATTTAAACTTGTGCCATATAGGTTTAGTACTTGATTTATTCACTTCACCTTTTTCAAAAACTATCAAAAAAGGTAGGATGAAACATATCCTCCTTCATGGGATGAAATGAAGTGCCCCTAAATTTTACTTGAAATGAAAGAGTGGGGCCCCTCTTTTATCCCCTTGACAAATGATAAGTTTGTCTGGCCACACTTTGTTTTTTCCTCATCATGTTTTTATTGTCCTCTCTAAAGGGTGGTCTTGTTGAGATCGAAGCAGTTGCTGTATTGGGACCCATTACGGACGCCTCCTGACTGACCGCCGCAAGCATGAATAAATTGTAACCTTAAATGAGTAGCCTAAAATTGGATCACTAACAGCCTTCATCCTGAGATATACCTTTAGATGTTGTAAACACAGAAGAAAATACATTCCTTTGCACTGACAACTGGTTGTAATATTCCATCTAACCTATTACATGTCAATTCAACCTATGACATGGTAGTATTGCTGATGGAGTTTTGATTTGTACTTTCCATGAGCTGACTTTATAGGAAGCGGATGTAGTGATATAGTCTACAATGCAGAGTAATTCAAGACTACACTTCAATTAACAGTATTATTGTTAATGTTTAACCTTTTATCAACTCCTATGATTTGTATTTCTCATTGCATTTGTAACACTAAAACAGGAAAGCAAATTAAATGAAAGCAAGTCCTGATTTTTAAACAATGTTGATTTTTTTCAATATTTCAAAGGTTCATATCTGCATTTTCACTGTTACAAAACAAAGATAAATCTTGGTTTGTATGCTCACAGTAACTGATTTATTAGTCAAAATTATTTTGTGGTATAATAGCCTAGGTACATTTACAGAGATTCCCATACTCTTTGGCTTTGTACATTGTGTTATATGTACAAGTTGAAGACATATGAATGCCATAGGAATAAACATTACATTATCCGGATCTTGAAGAGTGCATGTCAGAGTCTAAACAATTTTATCTGGGAAGAGGCAGCAATAAGAAATCTGTAAGTATTCCAACATTACATTATGTCACAAACATAGGCCATTATCAGTTCTATAGAGATGATAGGTCTAATCTGAAGTTCATTAACAGATAAAAGTATATACAAAAGTAGAAGTTCCCAACACCACTGACAAAGAGAAAGGCACTGTGATGTCTGCAAGACTCCAATCTGAAAGATCAGTCAGTCTGCATCTTGGCAACAGGCTAACAATAAGTTATCTCAGATTTCAAGCATCTCTCCTGAAAGTTTCCTGTTTTGTTTTAAAATGTGTGAAGTTTTTTTAGTTTTCCCATGATGATGCTGCTGTGTCATTGCTTGTGAATGTAGCCTTAACTTCCTTCACTGGGCGCTGAATGAGAGAGAGAAAGAGGTGTTTTATGGGAGAGATAATCAGAAATTATACCTGTAGTTGGTTCTTCACAATGTTTACTCACCTGGTGTTTCCTCTGGTGGGGTTGACTCTGCCTGGCTTTCCGCTGAAGCTGAAGCTGAAGCTTTCGAAGGAGGAACAAAAAATACACTCATTATGCTTGGCTTAGATTATACCCTTTCAGTAATGCTATGAACCTTCTGTGTCTGAATGAACAGGATCGAAAAGAATAAAAACCAAAACTTCTAGTTTTAGGTTTTGTTCAACAAAACCATCAATGTCTATATGATCACTGCTGGAAGATAGAGGGCCAGTTTAGACCCAGATCATCTATAAACTTAAACAGGGTTTGCTATAGTATAATTAAAACTATAACACTAGTTTAGTTTAAGACTAGAATTAATCTATGTCCATGAACCTAGATTAGGGTGTTCAGTTTAGCTTTTGGTAAACGGGTTGTGTGAGGTTGCAAGCAATTCCAAAGCTTCCATTATATCTCTAGATTTATCAAGGCCTTACATTATGAAAATATTTTACTTTACTATGCCAAATTTTGGCTAATTGCATTACATTTGCATATGTAATTTTAATAGCTTTCAAATAAATTTGTCAGAGTAAAGTACACTATATGTCCAAAAGTATCCATTTTGCATTTGTCTGGTTAACCTCTTTTTTTTTCTAGGTTCCTCAGTTGAACGATGCATATTTGCCTTCAAAAAGCCAACTGGATTTTTGTTGTCATATGTAAGCAAGCAGGTCAACATTTATAAAAATGTTTTATTGTGTTCAAATGCTACTTTTAATATGGAAGTTAAATTATTTTTATATCAAGAAAGCTGCAGTTTTGCAGTGGTGGATTGCTTTCACAGCAGAGGGTTCTCATCCCCCCTGTTTTACCCTCATTGCTCGCTAGCAGCTTAACACAGAGTTGAAACATTTCACAAATAATGTCCTAGTTAATCTGATAATGGAGTTATGAGGGGAAAAAATATTCGATTATATAAAATAAAAAATATCAACTTTCACACCAGCAAAATGGGCACTACATAGCCTGCAGAACTACGCTATGGCACACCTATTGCAGACAAAGTTGTTCAGTTGTGCTTGTACACCTGTATAATCTCCAGAAAAGAAGATGCACTACCACAAGTGTTGACCAGAGTGCTGTAACGTGTCACAGCACTGGGCTGTGGTGCAGTGGAACTGTGCTCTCTAGAGTGATAAAGCACAAGACAACACCTTTGGGATGAGCTGGACTGATGAAGCTCCACTGAACACCTTTGGGTTTAGTTAGAGTGTCATTTGTGATTCAAACCTAATTGGTCAACATCAATGCTGACTTCACTAATGCTCTCGTGGCTTAATGGAATCAAATCCCAGCAGCAATGAACCAACATTTAGTGGAAATCCTGACCAGGAGAGCAGAGGCTATTAGTGCAGCTAAAGGGGGGGCAAATTCCCTATTAATATTATTTATTTCTGAAGAAATGTTGGACTATTGGGTGTTACTCTTGGATATTTTGGACACACAGTGTAGCAAATATTATATGTCTATCAAAGTTTATCTTCGTATTCTTTTATTATTCATCATATCTGATTGAGTTCTACTTTGTGGTTTGCCATTTTGCATGTTATACAGTTAGAGTGTCTTGTTCATATGTTCACACAGACATTTGCATTAGTCGACTCATTTGTATTTACATTTGTAATCTCCATCATGACAGTGAGACATGGTTTCATACGCAGGGTTATATAAACCTGCAATTAGGTCATTGACTTAGACAGGAACCTTGCAGATGAACCCAATCCCGGATGGTAGGGCAGCAACATTTCACTATTATGAGGGTTATTTGATATATATAGATATTGATCAAATAACACCTTATAATATTGGAATGTTGCTGCTATATATATACACGGTGTTCAAAAGACCATCTGATGTGTTTCATTTGAGTTCTGTCGGGCCATGTGAGTTCAGTTAGTTCATTAGGTGACAGAAAATTCTTGTGTAATAGAAACCCTTGGAAATAGAGCCTGTGGGGAGGCCTGTAGAAAGGAAAGGGAAACTTAACCAGGGTAGATATGGACTTTGTCAATCATCAAACAGCGAATAAAGGAGCCATTTGGATCACTGTTCATTGATTTACCAGTTTATGAAAATATCGTCACTGCCATTTCAATTCCGTTTTATTCAAAAACGGCAGCTGCCCTGTTCATTACGTGAATAATCCACGGCAAGTGGACCAGTAGAATGAGGGGTCAATTACTTGGAATAAAATCTCATTAAATTCACATTCAATAAAGTTAAGGACTTTTCCTTCTCCTATTAAATTCACCATTTCTGAAATATGAGGTTTTGCTACAACAGTGATGACGTACTCCTTGAAGTATGAAATTTAAAAATATTTCTCCTGCTTTGCTTTCATCCAAAGTATTTTGTGAGGCAGTAACACATGATCTGTTTTAGTGTTTAATCCAGTTCATCACTGACCTGTTTGAAATAAGTAGAAGCAGTTTCTCAAGACAGTTCGGACATTTCTTTTGCATGACCACTAAAAGGGAGCGTGTTGCTTGTTTTGCATGTAGAGATAAGCTTGTTTGAACTGACCAGCCTATTTGCATGGCCAAAAGCAGGAGATGAGTGCGTGTTATATTATGTACCTTCATCTTGAGTCACGGGTGCTGGCTCTGGCGCAGCCTCTGGTGTGGTGGAGTCGGCCGCAGGAGCCTCAGACTCAGGCTGGCTTTCAGCTGCAGCAGCTTCGGAGCTCTGCGGGGCCTCCGATTTCTCATCGGCCGCTTCTGAGGCAGACTCATTTGCTGCCTTGTTTTCTACATTTTCTGTAGCTGTTCCTTGTGAGATTGGGACATTCGCATATTTATTAGTTAATTAGTTATGTTTTGTATTAGTTAATTCTTATGTTTATTTTGTCAAGGACTATGTATATAAACATTGATCCTGAGTGAGAAAAACTTTCCTTCAAATTCTGGTTCCTCACTGCATGTCTATATTATATTCACATATACAGATAGATAAACTATGTTATATATTCACATAAACAGATAGATAAGCTATGTTATATATTCACACAAACAGATAGATAAACTGTAATATATTCACATAAACAGATAGATAAACTGTTATATATTCACACAAACAGATAGATAAACTGTTATATATTCACAAAAACAGATTGATAAACTATGTTATATATTTACATAAACAGATAGATAAGCTGTAATATATTCACATAAACAGATAGATAAGCTATTTTATATATTCACATAAACAGATAGATAAAGAAACTGATTCCAGTTCAAGGCTGAATAGTTAACATTTGTTTAAGTAACAGATAATGGTGGCTGAAGTCAAACACAAACAAACAGGTGAGTGAATTGCCAGCGAATGAACCAGGAAACTTCATTATTTAACTGAGTGATCTTAGATTACACTCTACACTTGCAACTGGAAGAGGTGAATTGTGAGGGCAATCTCTTTGCACTCTTGGCAGGATGGGATGACATTTCGGTCAAGCTGCAATTTCCTCGTACTTTTTATCCATCTTTTCTTTTTGGCAATATTAACTGCACCAAGAAATGATCAGTCATTTTCTGTATGACGTAAAGAGGGGCCTCACCGCATTATCAACTCTTTTTCATCCACCAAAATGCCTCATAACACAAGTTATCTAATGCTGCCGGTCTATATATTGTATTGGACTTGATTGTGATTGTACTGATACATTAACTGCTAGGCCTGATCATGAAGTCAGACAATGAAAGTTTACTTAAATAAAAGGTACAAATCTTTAATGTAACATAATAAAGGTACAGTATCTGACATACTTGGGCCAAGAAAGCTCATGGTTTCATGGCTGACCCTCTGGAAAATGTTGATGTCAATACGTCTGTTTAATTTCTTTCCCATAATGATTTTTTTCTCCTTTAGGTAGTTTTAACAATAGAACTACTCAGATAAGAAAAGCTCTATGGCCCTTCAAATTATTAGCCATACTGTACAGCATGCCAGCTGTATCAGTATAGTCTGTAACATGCTGATGTGGTAACATGGCACTTTCTATTATTTGTGCTTCCATCCACAATATTTGCATGAAATGCTGTCCAGAAGCCACTTTCCAGCTTCATAGAGTTGAAAACACTGGCTCTTGTAACAAGATGGCATATATATAAATGTGAATACTTCTGCTGAGAGAGCGAGTAAGGAGCTAAGGGGGGTCTTTCTGGGAACAGTTTAATCCCTCTAGTTTTCCTCTACTTTAGAGACTTCTTTGCATTGTCCATCGTCCAAAATACATTCTTCTATTTCTATTTCTGCATACACTGCTTAGTACAGTAAATGGTTCAGTAAAACATCAAACATCTTTCCAGCTTTCATTCACTGGGGGTAAATTACCATGGGGAGTTGTGAGTGTACAGCTGTAATGAGGTTTTCCCAGCAGAAATCAAAAGATAATGTTATTTTCCAATGGAACAGCTTCTCTTGAGAATTCAGAGGAAGAAAGCCTTGAGCTCAAGACTGAAATAAAGCTATTTTTAACCTAATAAGCCAAAGCATTGCTAACACTTCATAAGTCTAGTGCACATTTTGCAATAACTTGACTGACTAGATAAAGAATGACTGACAGTTGTAGCACCACCAGCAGAGCCCAACAATATGCCTGCCAGTCCAGGATCATGTATAGGAAATTACTATAATAAATATAAATTGAGAATTGAGAATCAGCTCAACCTGAAACTACACTTGAGTAACCCGTGAATATGGGAGACTGAAAACACTCTTACCTGTAGTACTCGCCCCGTTGCATTCCTCTGGTTTTGAGTTTGGTCGAGTTGTGTCTTGAGCTGTTGTGTGAGTGCTAGCAGTACACCCCATTCTGTCCTGCTAACATAGAAATACAAGGGGACGTCTGTGGAAGTTAAAGTCCTGAGATAGATGCTCCTGTGCCAGAGCTCTGCATAGACAGACAGAGGAGCAGTGCTGACCACACAGTCCAGAGAGATCTGCTGAACTCAGACACAAAACCAACCGCTTTTGCGCATGGCTACAAGCGTTTGTTTCAGCCTGTTACCGCGTTATTTTTTCCCACCCGTATTCCGTCAAGCCACGCCCCCTGCGTATAAAATAACTGGTTTGTGAATTGTGAATATACTGAAATGCATATTTATTGAAATATGGAATTAATTATTACTTTTTAGTTTTATTTACAATTACTTTAATACATTTCCCTGGGCACACTTTTGGTCACAGACATTTGTTTGAGTATTAGAGTCTCTTTAGCTCCAGCAAATTTTACCTCTGTGTTTTAAACTGCGATACGAAAAAAAAGGAGAATATGTCAAATGATCCCCAAGTCCCCAAACTGTCGAGTCATATCTCCATCTTTTGACGCTATGAACTGTTTAAACTGAACATGGGGCGATCATCCTCTTGTGTTTCCTAAAAGTGCCTCCAGATGCCGCTGTTTCCACACATACAGTCTGTGTAACTGTAAAGGCCCAGCTCAGTATTTTTCCTTCTCATTCAAAACTGTATGTGATCTGCACAGTTTTGTTTGAGCACAAAATGTGTGCACATAGAAATTATCATTTTTAAAATATGCTCATTTTTAGAATTACACTTTAATTGGGTTTATGGCCAGAGGTGGTAAGTGACGAAGTACTTTGTTACTGTACTTAAGTATTTTTTTAGGTATCTGTAGGTATCTTTACTTGAGTATTTCTGACACTTAATGCTTTTTACTTTTACTCATTACGTTTCAACAAAAAAATCTTTACCTCTAAGCCTCAATAAAAATATATCCTGTTTAAAAATTTAATCAGAAATGATTTTCTAATTTAAAAAGTGATCAGAGGTGGAAATGGGCCAGAACACATCAGAGACCTATGTAAGGTAATATCAATCTTCATAAAAAAAAAAAAAAATCAATTTAAGTCAAAAGTTTGAACCTTTGGACACCTAACTGAAAAACTCATCACTCACTCACTCACTCACTCACTCGCTTACTCATAATCTAACCCATTTATCCTCATGGGTTACAGGGGGTGCTGGAGCCTGTCCCAGCGCTCACTGGGAGGAAGACAGGAAACACCCTGGACAGGTCACCAGTCCATCACAGGACCTATCTGAAAAAGCATCTTTGGAACATTTTGATTTAACTATTTTTTTATGCAAATGATTTGTTTCTAAGACCAACATAAATAGTGAAGTTGATGCCTATGTATTTAATTGTGTCCAAAACAATGTTTTAAAATGTACATTTTTAATCAATTAATCAATTAAAACATTACAGATTTTTTAAATGTCAAAAATATGTAACAACAAATGGTTTTCAGCAACAGCAGGGGCTCCATGTATGTGTATTTTCTTAAGTCCTGTTGGGGAAGCATCTCAGGTGGCTCTTCATGAAGCTACTTGAGAGAATGGTAAAATGGTCGCTGCATAATTCTGTATGTGTTGTTTCATAGTTTTAATTACTTCATTATTATTCAGTATTTTTAATAGTTAAAATGCACCAGAAACAAGCAGTTAGGATGACATCTTGAAAAAAGTGAGGTTACCCAGTAAAACCTCACTATTTCCTCCCCCAAAAGTGAGAGCACACCAGTAAACTAACAAAGCTCGCCTCTAGTCTTTAGTCCTTGCCAGAGCGCACCTCCTACTCATGGTCCTAGTCCTGTTTCAGGGCTAAAGTCTCTTTAACGCCAGTATAGTTGGTAACGATGGTAATATAATAGATGTCTGTGGCTAACAAGTAATCTTTCTGGCTTACACAGACTTCCCTTAAAACTTCAAACATCAAATGTGTGTTGGCTGATTTGACCTCTTTTGAGGTAAACAGAAATGGCATGAGGAAAATTTTCCAGTCTTTTCTACATATATTTTTCCATATATATTCTATGTATATTTGTGTGTACAAAATATATCAGATTAAGAAAGCATTCATTCTCTCATTATTGCTGACTCTGCTACATCCTTCCAGTACAGCACATTGTGGTTTCTGCATGCTCCGGAGCTGTAGTATCAAAGGTAATGCCAGTATGTGGAAGGAAACTGTTTAACCGCATATGGGCAGAAATGTGTCAGACTGAGACAGATAGAGTGTTTCAATAACATTTGTTTGCTTATCAACTGGACTTTCTGAAACAAACACCTCAATCAAGGAAGCACATGTACTTCAAATGTGCATCTTAACAAAGTTGGGTTGTCTGAATAAATAAGACTGTTGAGCACTGCAGAATAGGTAATACTGCATTTCTAACACATCCTCATTTGTCAGTATTGGCTAATGTGGACGTTTTGTCTTTTTGTATCTTGTAATCTTGTATTTTCTGAAGGTCCTTACAATCTACAAAAACTAGAACAGATAATGTCACTGACAGCTGCCTTAACCTAAACATGCAATCGAGATTTGGTGGTCAGGGTTTAAGTGACTTCATTAAAGATGTATTTGCATTGAAGGGACATCCCTTAACACACTATCATAGTACCCCATAGAGCTGCCTGTATTTTCAAACAATATCCCCTCCCCCCAAAACCCACACATGTGCAAAAAGCTTACGAGAAGGAACAACCCACTTCTGACATTTGTGGAGATACTGCTTCCTCAAACTGACAGAATTTTTGTAATATTCTGACTAAATTAAATCAAGAAATTTTACAGACCTAGTTTATAAACCTTTCTTGCATTTGTAGATCTGTATGCAATACTTTACTGATGGACGAGTTGAGGACTGAGCTTGAGTGGGTGCACTGAATAGCCTACACTGAATGGCAGGTAAGGTAATGATGTAACATTTGTAAATTATAACAATAACCGTACATTATGCTGTAAGCTTCTATGTGCACACAGCTGGTTCTGCACAACCTGTACAGTTTCAGTGAGTAGTTCTTATGCACATAAAGGATCTGATATGCAGCAAAGAGATTTTAAATATGCAACCAAAGCTCAGTGTCTTATCATTTTATCTTATAATACTTATCAAGTATTATTTTATCGCTTCGAATGTACAGATCTCATTCATCTGACATCATTTTGTAGTTATTTTACAAAATTGAAATGAGACTGATGCAAATCAAGCCTGTAAAACAACAGAAAAAGAGCTAACGTAGACCACTATTACGCTCTTGTAAATAAAGTGAATCACTTACAGTAGGATCCAGCAACACAAGTAGTCAGTGGTGTCTAGCTACGCATTTTTGATACACCCTGCACTGCTCGGCATCCGACACCCAATGAGACCCCCCCCCTTTTTTTCTCATCATATCTTCTATCAGTCTACAACATTAATTAGCTGATACACATACAGACAGTACTAGTCTAGCACCTTGGCTTTAATATCAAGGTTCAGCTTCTCACTTGACTTTAAACAGTGGACAGTGGTTGACTGACAACCTGCAACATTAGCTTGCTAGATAAAAACCATCAGATAGCTAACAATAACAACATCAAGAGTGATCTGTGATTCAGTCCAGCAAAAATTAGGACTGCTGCTAATGACTGTAATGTGTTGGTGCTGAATGTTAAAGTAAAGAAATCCTCGTCTGCCGCTACTGGAGCCACCATACCACACAGTCACACTGTAACTGTGCGTGTATTACTTTTCAGTCTCCAGGTTACTGCTGATTGACCAATTCCTCTCTGTCTCTTTGTAGAAAGAATCTGCCATGGCTGACTACAAACATCATCTGATTGAAAAATGGACAAAAGAGCATGTTTATACATGGCTTTGCGAAGAGGTTAAAATTAACCAGAAATATGCAGACAAGTTTATTAAAGAAGAAGTGTCAGGAGAAGATCTAGTGTGCTTTGAAAAGCAAGATCTACTGGACATGGGTATAGAGCACGGTCCAGCTGTTAGGATCATGTCCCGATTGAAGAAACACATAACGCTGTCTGACACTACAGCCTCCTGCAAACAAGAGATGCACAAGCACAGACAAACAAACATTAAAACTAAAGCAGATGCCTCTGCAAAGACAGAGAGTCAAAGACACTGTACTGGGAGAACAGAAAAGGACAATCAGGTATGTCATAATGGTGCCCATCATGCAATATACAAGATGCAACATAACAAGAGCCTCCTATTAGACATTTTTGATTTTACAATAGTATTTTAAACCAGAATAAATGCTACTATTTGTACTTATTAAGAATAAAACACGTTCAAGCTGAATACATCGGGTTAAAAATACCAACATTTTCTTCTTTTTATACAGACTTTTACAATGCTTATTAACTGTCTGGAGGAACTTACAGAAGAAAACTTCAAAAAGTTCAAAAGTTACTTAAACAAACCTGTGCTGAATGAATGCAAAGCCATTCCTGCGTGTCAGTTGGAGAAGAATGAAAGAACATACATTGCAGACTTGATTATCAGATTTTATGGGGATGAAAATGCCCTGAAAATCACTTCCTGTATATTAGAGAAGATTCCACGGAATGACCTTGTGGAAAGCCTGACAAAGGATATCGGTAAGAAACTCAAGAAAAGCGTTTGATGTTGTTGTAAATTTAGCTGTGGTCCTAAAGCTCATTGTGGTATGTTAGATGATGTGGCTGTTTGGTATAATCAGTGCAATACTCATTACTTCAGTAGCTTGCTGTACATTTTGTGTGGTTTTGTGTTCATAGGCCACTTCCACATTTCATCAATGGACTCAAAGACAGAGGTAAAAAGGGAAACAAATCATGGTGAGAAGCTCAGGAACCTGCTGACTTGTGGAGGATCAACACTGGATCACTACAACTATTATATCATCGTAATGAACAAAAGCGATACTGACCAAATCGAACACCTCCAGTTTCTTTGCAAACTTAATTTGTTTTGTGTTTTGGACTTTGATCCTAATTCAGCCATTAATGGTGCATGCAAGCTGTACAGAGAATCCCGAATCGCAAATCTGCACTTCCCAATCCACTTTCAGGGGGAACCAAGTGCAGTGATTAAAAACCTGAATCTCTACAAACAAACGAGCTGGGTGTTCTGCAATGGAAGGTTTGACTTTGACTCTGAATCTAGTAGACATCTAGACTACCAAAGCTGGTTGAGAAGAACGCACAGGGAAATAGAGCAAATGGTTTCATTTCTCTTCAAACCAGAGGTCCTTCCTGGTAGAAGATGCCTGGTCATATTTCTGTTGCTTTCTTCTGTAGAGTCGGAGAAAGACCCCATTTTTGACACATTCATGACGTTCCACAGGCACATATCTGTGAAAGCAAGAGATCATTTGAAAAATGGCAAAGTCTCATTCAAAAGAAATATGAGTTTGACATCACCAGGCAGTCCATCTATGAGCTGGACATCAGCCAAGTGAATGGAACTGTAATGAAACTGGGACCGCACCTTCAATCCTATGGAAAGTTGCTGCCATCAGCTGGCTCTAGTTCTGTCATCCTGCGACAGAAAGATGCAGATGTAATGACGGCTTTAGACATATTGTGTGAAAATGAGTGCGAGAATGTTCATGATGAAAACAGCGCTGAATTTCAAGACTTAAAACTCAAGACTGAGGAAGAATTTTACAGAGGAGGAAAAGTCAAATGGTGGAACTTCTATTTCTCAGAGAAACGGAAAGCAAAGCCGTTCATCAAACGAGACAAATATGAAGCCGTCCTAAAAGCACATGCGTCTTGGTGAACCTCTTTCACCATCCTGGATGTGGAGGTACAACTTTAGCAATGCACGTAATGTGGGACCTTCGAAATCAGCTAAGATGCGCAGTTCTAAAGGACAGCTCCTCAGAAGAGCAGGTGGCATCACAAATAAAGTACTTGATGAAGTATGGAAAAAGTGATGAATCTCCTCAAACACCGGTTCTTCTGTTGGTTGATGATTCCAAAGATATAGAAGGTGTGGAAAATCTGAGGAACTGCATTCGTAGGACATTAGATGAAGATTGCCTAAGCAAAAAAGAAAAGAGTGCAAACTCACTGGTCATCATTCTGAACTGCATTCGGACTCATTTCCCGAAAGATCAGCACAAATGCTGTGAGACGGTAAGTCAGTACATAACAACAGAGCTAACAAAGAAAGAGCAAGACGACTTTGAAGAGAAACTGCAAGAACTTAAGGAAAATCATAAAAGGCCTGAAAACTTCTACAGTTTTATGATCATGAAGTCAAACTTTGACAAGAAATATGTTAAAAACGTAGTTTGTAATACGCTGAAGGATCTTGACAGGGGCACCAAGCAAGCCCAACTCCTCTCAATCATGGCACTGCTGAACTCATATGTGACTGATTCATATATTTCTCAGTCAGTTTGTGAAGACTTTCTTGGGATGAAATCATTCCTATGGGGAAAAGAAACTGTTCTTGAGAGGATGGAACCTTACTCAAATTTGCTTATCGGATTTAAGGTTGACCAGTGTGGGGAGTACTCTGCCATCCGTATCCTACACCATGACATAGCCTGGGCATGCCTTGAGGAGCTGGATTTGACGTACAGCATAAAGAGAAGTGACATTACCACGGATCTGCTTCACTGTGATTTGTTTTTCAAAACCGGACTGGGGAAAGATGCTTTAATACACTCCATTCAGCGCATGCTGATTGAGAGGCAGCGCAATGTGGAAAATGAGAGAGACACTCAGTTTTCTCTGTTGATTGAAAAAATCCACACAGATGAAGGGAGACAAAAAGTTCAAGACATCTTTATGAAAGCATCATCAAGATATGAGACAAGTGCTTCCATTCCCCAAGCCTTGGCACGGTACCTTTACCTTTATGGCAGAGATTTCTCTCAGGCCCTTGATTGGGCAGAAAGTGCGATAAACATCACAGAAAACCCGTTCACTGTTGATACAATAGGCCAGATCCACAAAAACCACCTGAAGTACAGAATTCAAAGAGAGAAGGAGCAGGAGATGCCTCGTATCCCAGAAAATCTCGACGCCTACCTCGAGCTTGCAAAAAAGGCAACCAGTGCTTTCCAAAAGGCACAGAAACTGTCAAAGACTGAATATGAGCCTTATGAAGATAACCATCTTATTAAAGGCTACAACCAGTATGTGGACATGGGGCTAATAGAAACAGCACTCATGGTCTTTGATTTGGTCAGCAGCCTCCCATTTTTCAATGGAAAAGATCCACTCACAAGAAGATACATGCAGAGTTTCCTCAAAGGCAGCATTCCTATTGAGAGCATTCATTTTGAGGACAATGACATGAATCAGAAATACGTAGCTGTTCTGAAGAAACACAAACCATTCCTCCGTGAGTTAAAGAAGCAGGCAAAGACTAGTTTTGAATTCTTTGACAGCTACTTTACTTACTTGAAAAGCAGGAAATTTGAGGAGGAGTTAGACCACAGGTGTAGACGGAAGATATCAGAATACTTCAAGAAGTATATTTCATTCTTCTGTTCAGAGGCCGAATGGTCACAAGAGCATGCAGGCAAAAAATTTCTACGCGAGAACATGGACATTGAGGCATGCGAAATGTTTCTGGAAGAGAAGAAAGCTGACACTTTTGCAGGGCTGCTTCAACACTTGGAGAACAGAAGTGGAGAAACAATGGAAAAAATAAAAGAATGCTATCAGTTTTTACATGAGCGTGTGAAATTCAGAAGTCCAAATTTCAAAACAAACCTCATACTAGCCAACATAATCCTGCATCTCATCAAACCCAAGTCGAAGTGTGCAATGAGCGAGAGGGACCTCATTCATCTTTTGAAGGAAACACTGCAAGAAATCGGAGTCCAGTACTCGTCTCCGGAGCCCTACTACTTGGCGTTACTGCTACTTTGGCCCTGTTCATCTGCATCAGTTCCTGACAAAAACATCAGAATCTATGTCAACTCCATACGCAGTTCTTCTCGTCGTCAGCTGCCCAATTCGTTACGCAAGAGAGGCGCTATTTCTCATTTTTTGCTGGGCAAAAAGTCAGGACTGGAAAGGCTTGTACCTAAAGCAAAACTGTACTACTCAAAAGACCCAAAAGAAAGCAACAGGCTTTGGCAGAGTGGAGACATCTTTGCTCAGAAAGATATTAAAGACCGCCTGCTCAGAGTATACGGAACTGTAGAGCAAGGGGAAGTTTACATTGAGTATGGTAAACTGAAAATCCCAGTTCATCCAGCCTTCCTTAATGCTGTGAGATCTGGATTCAGTACAGAAAGGGTGTCCTTCTACTTAGGTTTTGCCATGACTGGTCCACTTGCATATGACATTCGCTATGAAGATTGAATAGAGTTAATCAAAGCCAAAAGAAAGAGCATGAGAATTTATTTAATTTATTAAAGAGTTCAGAACATTATACATTATACAGCATATCACACAATGCGTTTCAACATGAAGGCTTGAGAACAGCGATGTAAATAAAAGGAGAACACAGGCACAAAGAAAATCTTGGGAAAAGGTACTAGTAATCAGTAGTCATTATCCTAGAAACAAAAACAACCAGAAAGAAATGTGTAAACATCTAAATGAACAAAAAGAGAAACAGCACAGAGAGAAAAGTTATAACGACACAAAAATAAGCTAAACCAACACTGGTGCTTGGACCCCTAATAGTAATGACTTTTTATGTTCCTGTTTTATATCCTCAAAAATAAAAGACACCTCTTCTGATTTTTCTTCCCTGTATTTCTTTACAAAGAAAAAGTCACTGGGCCTCATTCACCAATAGTTTCTTTCTTAAATGTGTTCTTGAGAAAGGTCCTAAGAAAAAGTCTACATCAGATTTATGACGTGTTCTTAAACCGCAGAATTGTTTGCACTTTGTGCTCTTGAGTGTGTGTAGATTCTGTTCTTACCCAAGAACAAATCCCAAATAAGAAAACATCTGTGAATCTCAGAATCTTCGTGGCATAGGTGGTGGGTGGTCAGCCTCAAAATGTACCCCCCTTGCAGCTTTCATTTTGTTTACTGAAGAATAAAATTCTCTTAGTATTATATAATTTGGACCACCTGTGCAAGTTTCACAGATGTAACACCAACACAACCAGATTGAAGGGAGGGTGCATTTTCCAGCAGACAGCCTGTCACAAAATGTGCCCCTTTATCTCTGTTCACTCACTGTGTGCACTTTTAGTAACACACATTTTGACCAATATGTACAGCCAGTGGAAGCTCCATGTAATAACAATGTAGCCAGATTTACCTGCTTTTCAACAGATGCGAAAAATACATATTGCACTACCCGGTAATGAAAAGTCAATCAATAAACATATTTACTGAATCATAAAAGCATTCATCTTTAGCAATGCAAGAATTTGCAAATGGCTATCTTTGGATGCACACATCTATGACGAGTGGAATAGACAGAAACGATAGACAGAAATAGACAGAAATGAAATTATGTAAATTAGGTTGGTAAAAATGCATGCATTAGAAACAAGTCAATAAAAATCTATATGAATTGATTTCCTGAGTGAGAAACAGTGATAAAATCAACTGTTATTTCATTAAAACAGTGTTTTAAAATATGATCCATGTTTCATCATCACTGAGGTGATTTTTGTATGAGGGTGACAAACAACAACAAACAAATATTCTTGGATCAAAAGAAAGTGGATAAAATGCATGTAAATTGAAAACTAAAGTATTTTATGAAAGGACGATAAAAATTTTACTACCCTTAGAGTAAATTTTGGTGTCTTTCAACATTAATCATGTATCATGTATGATAATGTCTACTTTTTCGTGCCCCTCACAGCTAAATGTCAGTCAGAAAGTTAATTGTTCATCACAACTTTCAATTCGTATACACTTTTACTGACTATCTGTAATTCACATCCATTTCACCCACCCCTTTTTCATATTAGACGTTTAGTTTAAAACTGGACTTTTCAGTCAGTGACTTTACAGTGAAGCTGTCTGATGTGGCATTAGCAATAACTTGCTGGTTGCAAACCAGAAGATTGCTGGTTGAATTTGAGCTGGTCACTTTCACTGAAATCCACATGCATTTTATAAACCATATTTTAAACATTTATTTTTTTCTTCATTGCATCATTCATAGGAAACCACATGATTTACATGTCATTCTTGTTTGAAGTACATCTGATTTTGTCCACTGTGTAAAACAGCAGTTTTCTCCACTGCTGACCGAAATATACGGCTCTTTTCGTGCTCTTTTGGCCTGTGTAGCTACAGTTTAAGCGGACTGCCTACAGTACTTACATCAGAAAAATGCGCCCCCGAGATGAGAATACAGGTCATGACAGGGAGCTGAATTCGGCACAACACCAACACAGTGCTCCTCCGACTGAACACCCAGCCCGTGATCTCGCGATGACAGCGCGTGTTGCTACGAGAGCAATGCACACTGGGAAGTCCTTTCTCTACGAGGCCATCTTGGGGTTCGCCAGGCGGTGAGTGTGGCTCTGCGGCAAATTGAGAAAATAATCTGTTTTAATGCGCGTTTCGAAGCGCTTTTCTGCTCCGTTTTGAAAGAGAAAGGACTCATCTGTCGTGTTGTTGTGTTCAGGTTGGCCGAAACGGACTAAAGCGCTACAATGGTTGCCGCGAAGAAAACGGTGAGTGATTTCACGTGGAGCCGCAGGCCTCGAGTCCGGGGAGGACTCAGCCTGGCTGTTTTATTAGTGTTATAACTGCTGGAGTTAGATATGATGAACAGCAGAGCACAGTGACTCTCCGGCCCGGCTTACAGTGTTAAAACGCACTGTGTGCTGCGGTAACGCTATTGAGCTAGCCGGCTAAGCGGGCGGTAATAGGCGTCACGGTGGTGCTTTCGGGCTGTGTGGTCATTTAGACAAGTTACAGCGAGCTGGGTCTGAAGCTGAAGTCAGTTTTTTTTTCTAATTATCCCGTTCCACCTTAAATGGTGCAGCAGCTCTGGCGCCTTGCGTTGAATGTATCCGCTGTGCCATTTAAGGTGGAACGGGAAAATTCGAACAAGAAACCGGCGAATAGGAAACTTAACTTCAGCCTCGTGAGGTGGACAGAGTAGCCTAAAGCTGTGCTCAAGTTAGTGTTGTTGCTGCAGTGAAGTAAGAACTGTAATAAAAGTGAAATTGTCTTTCCAGGTAGACGACTTGGAAGTAGTACTGAATTCGCAGGCGAAAAAAGGCTACTTGGTACTTGGGTTAAGCAACTTAAACACAGCATCTGTCAGTCTGGGGCCATAAGTTTATGTTCTGCTCTCTGTCTTTTGTGATGTGTCCTTGGTTTAAAATGATGAACAGTGCAAAGCAGTGAATTACAGATGTCATCAGCATGACAATGGAATTAATCCCTAAAAAGAAATAGCCAGTGATGTATAGTTAAAGGAGTAAAAAGTTTTTCATTACAGATCTATCATTTTTTTGCTGTACATGCAGCTGAGTAAATGTAACTGTTTTCTACCCACTTCTGGATGTGTGATGTACATGTTGGCCAGTAGTGCACTGACGCTTGTGTTGATTGCTGTCTTAAGTCAACGTGTCTGTCTTTAACTGTAATTTCAGTTGTGTGGCTGGTCAGTTTGAATTTCATTTGTGTGTATGTCCTTCACAACTTTGTTACTGATTTGTGTTTTCAGTCTCATTGAATAACTCCATGTTTTTACCACTATAGAAAAAGTCCTTGGAGTCCATCAACTCCAGACTCCAGCTGGTGATGAAGAGTGGCAAATATGTTCTGGGATACAAACAGTCACAGAAGATGATTCGCCAAGGCAAAGCCAAGCTGGTTATCCTGGCCAACAACTGCCCTGCCCTGAGGTAAGCACAGTTTACTTAGTGTGTAATGGGATTATGTGAACTAATTTTATATAATATTGAACATGTGAAAAACCAAACAGCTCCCCGGTTTAGGGAACTGTACTCACTCTGTAATGCATGTTTTCTTCCTTCAGCATCCGATTCAAGCTGTTTACTAAAGATGGTTTGGTTTCATAAAAGAGAGAACCAGGTCCAAGAGTCATGGCATTAGACCATGAGTGTTTAATCCAAGAAGGGCTGCAGTGTGTACAAATATTAGTTCCATCACCAGATTTCAGATCTAGCTTTTTCTTATAAAAGCATGTTCTTGTAAATGAAGTTAAATAAACTTCTGACCCTGAATGCAGTCGATTTGGAAGGACTAATGAGCTGATCCAGCTTTTTACTCTTTAGTTCAAGATATACTTGAAAAATAATTTTAAATATTAGATATACCCATTTGAGTGTTAATTGTCTTAGGCATGTGAGCCCTTCCTCATTTATTCAGAGTAAAGTGAACTACCGACCAAGTGGATATTGATTGCTGACTAATTTTCCCCCAAACTGACTACATGAAATCTTTATTAAAAAAACTTTATGAATTTTGGCCCGGAATGGATTAAATGAAAGCACTGGATTTGTATTTGGAAAAGTATTGAAGTAGTGGCCCTGGGTGGATTCTAGATCTACCATACACTGGTTGCCAAAGAGTATTTTTTGGATTTTTTTTTTTTCTCAAGTTACTAATTAACTTTTTTTATTTCCAGGAAATCAGAAATTGAGTACTACGCCATGTTGGCTAAAACCGGTGTTCACCACTACAGTGGTAACAACATTGAGCTCGGCACAGCCTGTGGTAAATACTACAGGGTGTGCACACTGGCCATCATTGATCCTGGTACGTAACAATGCAAAATATCTTTTATGAATTATTCTCAAGCAGTTGATAATGGACATATTGTTTGAATACTGGACTTTAAAATCAGTAACTTTAAAGTGAAGCTGCCTGATGTGGCATTAGCATTAACTTGCTGGTTGTATACCAGAAAGTTGCTGGTTGACTTTTAGCTGAACACTAGTTTGGTGTGGAGTTGACTGAAGTGCTGCTAATTTTAGTGTCTGTAGTTTTGATTGGATGTTTGAGCAGCTTAATTGCAGTTTTGCTCAGATTACCCTGATACCTCTTTCTGATCACAACGACTTCTTAAAAAACAATAATAAAGTGATCTTTGTTTATATTGGAAATACACATGATTATTGTTAATTCAGGTGATGTTGATCAGTGTCCTCTTGTCTCCACAGGCGATTCTGACATCATCAGAAGCATGCCAGACCAGCAGCAGGGCGAGAAGTAGAGCCATTTTTCCTGGAAGTTGTTATAAATAAAACTGGTTTAAATGGTCATAATGGTTTGGTGTTTTATTCTTTAATCACAACCTTTGTCCCGCCTTGGTTGATGGAGAGGGGCTTTAAGTCTCAAGCTATTTGTCTCTTAGTCAAAAAGTAATAGTAACTTTGTCTAAACACAGTACGGTAACACACCTTCCCTTTACAGCAAGTACAGTAAACTGGCATCAGTTTGCAACAGATTTCAAACCAGAAGTTAAGAAAATATATTGCTGTATGAAATATTATAACTGTTATTTCTTAGTTTCTTGCATATAGTGTAGTTGTAAAGGATAGGCATATTTCTGTTGTCTCTCCATGGCAGGAACTGGTGGTCTTTTCAGTATTGAATAGCAGTACCAGTCTCATTACATGCACACATTATTATAAATATGCAGCTTTTTTGAAATGTGATTTCGAGGGCATGAATTTCACTTTTATGAACAACAAAAAAACTCCATGTATATGACCACCCATCCCCTACCCCTGCCCCCCCCCCACATTGTTTTTGAGTTTGATTAGAGACCTATATTTATTTGAGAACATGTTACTAGGTGATACCCTGCTGTATTTAATGATGCAGTTAACAAGTGGCATGTGTTCTTTAGGCACACATGAAATTGAGCCTTCCTTCATCCTTTAAAATGTGAGGGGTCAGACCAAAACATTAGAGATAACTGAATTAAGACTTATTAAAATTACGCAACTACCAATGAGGAATATCTGTTTCGTAACCTGTTTTTAAAGCTGTCATAATGGTGGCTATCATGGGTATCTTCGGGCTGTGATGGTAACTGGGTAAGGACACTGTTAACCTTACACCAGGCGCATTAAGGGATTTACAGCTTTAAGTTTGTTCCTGCATCACAGTGTGCTAAGAGCTGAAATCAGCTCTGTGAGAGCAAAGCCATATTTTCCATTGCTTGATACTGGTTGATCATGTACAGCAAATATCCCAGTTTGGTTTGGAAAAAAAAACTGGATTAAAATCTGCAATGTCTAAAATGTGTCCATAAGTACACATCTTAAATTATTTTATGGCACATCCTTCTCATTTTAAAGATAGCCATATCTACATGTTCAAATGTAGACGCCTCTTCGAATTAGTCAACTTAGCTGCTTTATGGTGCACACAGTACTAACACCAGCATTCAATTGCACACAGCTTGCATAATACCCAGAGAAAAGCACTGCCAATAGAATGGGATGTTCTGGAGTAGCTGCACATGAGCCTAAGGTCACCATGCCCAGTGCCAAGTTTCAGAGCGATGTAAAGCCCCCCAGTATTGGGACTTCACTAATGTACTTGTGACTGAATGCAATAAAATCCTCACAGCAATTTTCCAACATCTAACCTTCCCAGAATAGTAGCTGCTATTACTGCAGCAAAGGGGGCCAAACTCAGTATTAACACCCCTAATTTCAGAAAAAAAAACATTGGCCATATTGTGTTTAGCAATGCACAAGCAACATCAGTAAACACTGCTGGTTCCCACAGGCTCTGCTGACCAATGTGAAATCTGAAGAGAGCCAGGGCAGCTGGCACAAGCACAGCACCCTCAGGAACCCACTCTTCCTGTGCCCTCTTCTGAATGAAGAGGAGCTACTGGCAAGTACATGTTACAAAACTTGTGCTTACAATGCGTTTTATTATTTTTGAGAATGCAATAATACTGCGCAGAGAGCCAGGGCTTGTTGAGGTGTGAAAAAGAGGTATTAAGGGTTCAAAGTAATCCCTCTAAATATGATTGTTTCCTACTGTCTACACATTGGATAAGCACTGATGCATAACTACTCTGCACACATGAAAAATCTCTGTCATTGTACCTGAGTATATCATGGCATTAATAACATTAATGGCTCTTTACAGGCAGTTACTTAAAGGGCCCCATATTAAAGGAAACTGAATTTACTTTTAATGTACTTTAATTTCTAAAAGGTTTCAAGATGTACCATTCATTTTCCTGTCCATACAGTCTATATGTGGGGGATAAGAAGCAAAAATGCCTCGTTTGGAGTTCAGTTTTTGTGATATTGAAAAAAAAACTAAGTAATTACATATATTCATCTATTCAGCCTACAGCAGTTTAGCCCAGTGAAGTTGTATGAAGTTTTCAGCCTGGACTGCTTTTTAAAAAGGACACAATACAGGGCACTCAGTTTATTTGTGAGGGCTAAAGAGAGATTGGAAAGTGATGTAAAATTGAAATACTTTTTTTGGATAAAAGTAGAATAATGGCCTTTTAAGCATGGTTATCAGAATCTGGAGCTACTGAATGTAGTATATATGCTTGTTCTGCAGGACCATTATTACATTTCATTAATATGATTTGTCTGTTTAAGTCAGCAGCATTGGAAAATGGAAAATGGAGCCAAAGTTTTGAAAGTGCAGAAACTCCATCTTGATGTGATCTAATTTCAGTAGGATTTACCCCTGAAATCTCTCATGTCTTAAGCGATTGCCCCACTTTTCTCAGCCAAAACTGCACGTTTACTAAGTCTTAATTCTTAAATACTCACAGGGGCCAAATGATCTACGTCAGCCGTGCACGTGCCTTGGGCTTGCAGTAAAATGAGGGTGAACATGTAATGAAGAAACAGTAACAGCCATCAAAAGTAGCCTGTTTATGTGAAGTTGCATGTTTACTAATAACCTCAGAGTGCTGAGCCATCAAATAGGTCACCGGATGGACCACAAAGTGTCTTGCCGTATTCGTTTCACATCTTCTTAACACAACAGAATGACTGCTCTGACCCGTGCCTGACAAAAGCTGACCCAGTTGTGCAGATGCAGGCGGGGAAAGTAGGTGAGCATGTCTGTTCTGGTAAGACAACGGTAATGCAATCCCTCGTTTGCGGAGCCATCTCTATAAATCCACTCTGATCTCCCTTTCTGGACACTGGGCAAGAGATGGGAGGGGCTGGCAGACAAGCATCTAACTTTGTTTAGGGCAGAGACAGATTTACAGTACTCCACTTAGTCATTCCAGACAGAGCCTGATGGGATGGGATTTTAGCTAGTCACAATCTAGATCTTTCACATGAACAGTAAAGACACTGTGATGATTATACAGCATCAGAATACTTTATGGTTTAAAAATGAGACAAACAAGTGCAGACCCAACAACAGAATACATAACGGGACAAAACACGCACTCATTCTCTCTACTCATAAGTACTGCCCTAGCTTACATGTGCATTCACGCTACAGTAAACACATTACAGTATGTCGATCTGTTACCTTTGATACATGTTCAGTACAAACATTATTACAGCCAATGGAATATCACAAGTCTGACTGAATAACCTTTGTTACAGACTACATACAATATCAACAGTAAAAATCAGTAATAAATTGTACGTTTTAGAAGTTGCACTGTGTGTGACAGGATAAACCATAGTTCAGCTTTTTCCAAGTCAACTTATTATTAGACCCTAACAGATTTAAGATGATTTGTTGGATCAGGCTATGATGTCGGATTTGAAGAGTAGCTACAAAGCTAACAAAAAATGTTTAAATCTACCCATCTATCTGTTTCATAGGAACAAACAGCAAGTATCTGGCTACTGTAGGTTGTTGATGCATGGTACACGAAGCAGTATTTTACTATATTTCAACCCCAAGATCTTTTGTACCTTTTCCTTAACTGGAGTGAACAGACATTCTTTCACTGCTTTACTTGATTTGTGAGTTTCAAACATGTCAAAAAACAATGGGCATAGATTTGTTGCTGTCCAAAAACTATTCATCATTTGAGCACAGCAGCTGTCCTTCATATTTTATCAAAATGTCATGATGAATGGATCAATAGAAATGGTCTAAAATTACTTTAATTTGGATTAATTTACTTTATATGAACCTATACTGAAAGTTCTCCTATGAAGTTGCCATTCTGGAGATACTTTGTTTTTTTGGGGGTTTTTTTTGGACAGTGACAATTTGTTTCTTAGTTTAGTAATATCTTTATCCATCTTTTTTGTTATGTAGGTTGTGTTTTAGGGTTTCAGCAGACCATTAGCTATGTCTCAGTTGACCTCCTAAAAAAAATCATGTGTAAAAATGATTGTGAATTTTAATGCCCATCAAACAGACTTTTAGCGATAAAAATCCTGGTGCAATGATGTAATTTCTTGCCTACGTTTTGGTTTATTGATAAAAAAGACTTACGTTTGAAATGTTCAACATGACTTTACTGACTTTCTTTATAACCTACTGATGAGGAAATCTATTTTAATATATTGTTTGCCATTGCAGGTGCAACAGAAAAGAGTTTTGTGGACACTCATAAAATCTTATCAATTCCTGTTTCCATAGTCTTCACTGACAAACATTTTGAAGCTTTAAGATATTTTTCGTAAAAAAAAATCCTTTGGATGGAAATGCAGCTAACGCCGATTTATAGAACTGTCCTCTGAAAAATTCTTACAGGAATCAAGATCAGTTACACCAGGTTCTTTAAAGCAGGCCTGGAAAAATTGCAACCCTGGGAAAATGGCAGCCAGCAGTGAAAGACAGTCTGCAGTCTCAGTTTAAGGCATTAATACCAGAGAGCTTAGCATTGAAACACAGTACAGTGGTTCCTTTAACATAGTTTTGCATAGCTCTTTATATAAAACACTGCAAATGTTTGAATAAGTTAAGCAGAATGAAGCTGGGGAAGACTTCAGAAGACTTCATGTCACTCATAGTCAGACTACCAGAGCACACTACAAGGCTATGTCATAGCTATACTATGGTACTGTGCTACAGTCTACTTTTCAATTGTTACAATGACTGACCTAACACAGAATGTACAACATGAATTAACAAGAACTGTGTGCAAAAAGAATGTGGCACGCTGCCACTTGATGAACGGTAAAAAATCTGAAATAAACAGGATTAACAGCAAGCTTTAGCTTTCATACAATTTTATGTATCGTTTATGTATCTAATCTGCAGACTATAGGAATTTTATTCTTATAGTCTTAATTCAGATTAAATCAAAAGAAAGAGAGAAATGTATAAAAGCATAATCAACATAATCTTGTGAAAATGGCCAGAATCCTTCATCAGTTACACTGCACTGATATATCCTGTAGTGCATAATCTTTCGATCCAAATCATTGTAGTATTTGGAATTCTTGTATTGTCTGAATCCACCAAAAGGTCATTATTTTAAATATGGTATCAAAAGATTTCAATGCTGCATTAAATATGGGATACTATTGGTATAAAAGACCTGATTTTCTCAGAGGACATGATTTAGGATTGCTCTGGGTTAAGTTCATAGGTTTAGGTACATGTTTTAACCACAAATTGGGTTTCTTGAAAGTCTTCTCACAGTTTAGTGTTAATACAAATACAATGTTAGATGAAAATACCCTGGTCTCTACATTCAGTGGGTTCCTGGGTAATAGCCATTTGAAAGGTGCTCTTAAATAACCCTCATATTTATTGCACTCTGTGCCTTTGCATTTTGCAGGTACTTCTGTAGACGACAACAACAGTACTGAGAAGTTCACAGTATTAAAAAGGGAGGTCAGTGCTGTGCATAATCACTGGAAGTGCAAATCAAATTGGAGCTGACACACAGCACTTGGGCTGCCAGGACAGCTGTGCCTTGCAGAGGAAAGGACATGTCAAAGTCACACTACTGCCTTCAGGGAGTAAAGAAGGAAAAAAAAACATCACAGAGTAAGAAGTAGAGGGCAATGGGCAATAGTGATAGAGAAATCCTTTCTTTCTTTCTTTGGAGGGGATTAGGGATGAGAGCAGGGGACTCTGACAGAGGAAAATGTCTGTCTCATGCTGAAACATACTGAGGAGGCGGCTCCTTCGGTGGAATGGCAACAACTTCTTCATAGGGCGGAAGCAGCACCTGAAAACAATGCACAAGACAACACATTAGTAACCAGCCTCTGAGAAGAAATGCAGGGTGATGTGGTTTTATATATATATGTATATTTTATATATATTTATGTATATATGTGTGTGTGTGTGTGTGTGTGTGTGTGTGTGTGTGTGTGTGTGTGTGTGTGTGTGTGTTTTTTCCAAGTATGTCATGCTACCGGATGATATTTACCCATGCTTCTTGTGTACTTTGTTAAAAAAAAATCTTTAATATTTGCTTGGAATAAAACACTACACATTTCCATATTATGCTCACGAGTCCCAACCAATGGTCCTGTATCTCACAACCTTGCAAAATTTCTTGTGACTTCAGATCAAAACATGCAAGCAGACCTACAGCAAGGCACTGACTGCTGTGCTAGTTAGCTGTGCATTTTGCAGAGAAAAAGCAAGAAAAAGCAGTTTGGTTTGTACAATGCTCATAAGGGAAAAATATATTTTATTCCAATTTTTAATGAGTAGTACTAAACCCAGAGCGGGAAAGTAAATGCACACCATAGCATCCCTAACCCCATAGATGCACTAGCATTAATTAGCATTATTATAGTAGAGCCATTCAGATCATTTAAATTTTATCCTTCAGTTTATGAAAGCACACGCAGAATCCCCACTAAAGTGATGCTTACACATACAATATGCAAGTTATATGTTTTGTTGATTTTCTAAATGAAAATAAGTTAATACATCCTCTACAGAGAAAACACTTCTGCACATTTTAATGTACAATTTCTGTTTATTTGCAGAATTTGACATATAGGAAAAGAAAATAAAGCATAAATGTGGCTTCTTTGTGTTTTCTTTTTTTAAATATGTTAATCTCAGTGAATAAATAGAAACTGTGCACTAAAACTTACAAACAATGCCATATTTTAGTTTGTTCTCTGTAGTTTGACCAGTGGTGCATATCAGCGAAGGTTTGGGACAACGAGTGCACGCACATTAATTTCCACTGCGTACGACAATCAACAGCAATGATCACAATGAATTTGAGAAAAGTCATATTTACTTAACTTAATTTTATTTATTTTCAAAAATTATTGCATCCATTAAAGTAATAATGCTATGCTTTGAAACGTGCTTTCAACTTGACTATCTGCCTTTCATAAAGAACAATGTCTACATTGAACTGTAAATACTGACCATGATTAATATACGATTCAGAGTGGGGGAGACCATGACTGGACTGTGCTTAAAACAAAAGTGAAGACTGAATTATACATATCCCATATCGCAGGATAATATGGGACCATACTCATTTAAGACCACTCCGAATTGAAGACATCTTTTGTGACTATCTGGAAGGGAAGAATCAGCCTTAAAATCACTCAGTTATCCTATGGTGTGGGCCAGTCATTACACAGCATTCTAAACATATACCAGACATAAACCAGATTTCCAGAAAGCAAATTTTAGTTTGAATGAATTTTAAACTGTTCTAATCTAAATACCCAGCAAATGACACACTAAGTTTTCCTCTATCATTACCACTAACGCTGGAAATCAATGCTGTTACTTGATGGAATTAATACCAGTGTAGTGGAATAAACAATATATCGCTCAGCACCACACAGAAGGGATTTTCCTTCCTCCCTTTAGCTTCATCACAGAGCTCAGTGGTTGTAACCGCAGGGCATCATGTGGCTACCCTTTGACCTTGAACCAAAACTAACAGAATCAGAAAGATAAGCCTTAACCGAGTTAAAAAACGAGAGTTAATTTGAATGCACCCAGAATATGCTCCAAGGGGATGCTATTCTAACCTTGGAAGGGGGGTCCGACCGCATCAGTGAGAGGATTTCAAATGAACCGGACAAGCATGGCCAGTTATGTAATGGGCTGGAACTGAAGCGCGAGAAAGCCCTGTTTTTCATTGGATTTTAAGCAGCTGAACACTTAACAGGGTCCAAAGCTCTACTGCAATCTATTTAACCAATGCTGACAATCCAGTTACTTCAGAGAGCTAATGTAAAAATAAATAAATATAAAATGAAACTGTCCAAGGGCTATGATGAGGCAGCAGCAGTGAGACAGGAGCTGGGATTACTTGTGGCAGACACTGTAGGGGATTAGTCCGAGCAGACACAGCACAATGCCCTCTTTATTACTCTCAGTATACACCCTGAATAAACTCCAGTCGGGACTGTCATAATAAAGCACGTCAGAAAATCCATCTGTGCCATAAGACGTTTGTACGAAGGGACAAAACTCTAAGGGTCAGTTTCCTAGACAGGGATCAGGCCTAGTCCAACTCAACATTCTGAATGGAGATTCTCCAATGAAAAGAAAATGTACTCCAGGACTAGGTACCCCATCTGGGAAACCTACCATAAACGCATAACATGTGCTAGTTTCATGCAACCATTACATCTTATATTTAATCACTTATGAAATTTCATTACAAAAAAAATTTGTAGACTATGAACCTGAGGATGTGTCACCATCAAGCTTCACTATGAACTGTGGTGGTCAGATCAAATGGGAATAAAATTTGCCTGGCAAAAAAGCCACATGAATGAGGAAAGATCACTTTGCGGTGAGATACTGTAAGTAAACATTGACTGGGCAAATTTGGAAAAAGACATTTCCTCACAAATGCTCTTCAGTCAATATAACTTGTCACCAGTACTAGGTTGCTAAGGCGTCAGGCCAGTGTCATCTCATGTTTGTTTACATGCACTTCCTGTTTGAAATGATTTATAAAAATTAAAGGAATTTAGAACTTACATAAAATCCTGCTGTAGCTTTCAAATGGAGCTAATAACATATATACCCACAATTCATTCATAGTTTATGAAACCTTTTGTCTTGTTATTTGACTGTGGGATTTGAATGTGTGATAAAGCAGTGTAGGACTGAAGATGCAGAACATGACACTGTAATGTCCTTTAAATAAAAGATGTCCTTAACTTACTGTTGTGTCATTTGTGGTGACATAAACCAAGACCTCTGTGGTGCCTCTTCCACTAACGTATCTGTAGCAGTTCCACACGCAGGCAATCAGGTAAGCCTATAAAAAAAGATTAAACGTGCTTATTTATCAATCAAAAGTAGAGAGGGCAGCCATTTTAGATGCAGCACTACTTCGCCTCAGCACACTTCTCATCATTACAATGGCTACTCATTTTTTTTTTACTCAAAAACATTCGTCTGAATTTGTATGACAATATATTTTATGACAATATATTTTATCTTTATCGTAATATGTTTCATTATTGTGATAAATTTTGTTGTCATGATAAACAATGCTTTTCTGAGCGTATCTTGAATATCGTCAGTACTTCAACACTGAAAAAGTGTGTTTCATTACAAAGAGAGCACAGTTAGTCCTGTTTAACTGTCCTTTATTATTAAGGACACTTTCATTGATGTAAACGTGTTAAGCCTTACCTTAAAGGCCAAGATGCAGCCGATGAATAGCAGAACTGCAAATACTAGGCACATGTTGCTTGTGGACATTAAGTCCTCTTTGTATGGAAAGGTCCCAGGCTGTTACACAACACAAAGACAGAAACATTCAGTCAGTCACTGAATGCAGTAATATCTCTTAAACAGAAGAAATCCTCTCTGACAAATGAAACACTAAATAAGCATGATCTCTCTCACCAGCTGCTGAAGGTAGTCCTGGATGGTGTTCGGGTAAACCACGACACTTATTGCTACCAGGGTGTTAAGAGCAAAGTCAAAGATTTGGTAGCAGAAAAATGGAATGATCCAAGCAGCATGTTGCTGGAAAGAAATATTACAATGATTACAAAGTACAAACTTAATATGTTCTAGTTTTCAATACCAAGCTGGACTAAAATCTCTAGCAAAAATAGACATTCTAATAAAGTCAGCAATTTCAATGCAGTCATATCATACAATAAATACAACAAAAATACTTATACGACTTATGAGACAAGGGATAAAGATCACTTATGATAATGGCCACGTACTAGTCAGTGTATACTACAGAATCAGATGGGCAACAACAAGCTGAGCAAATAAATTATGCAAGAATCTAAAAATTAAAGTTAATGACAAAATAAAAATTCAAAATAAGGCAAAAAAATCATGCTTTAGTCAACCAGACTAAAACTACAGAACACAAACCACCAGCTCAGGAGTTTCAGTATGTTTATCTATTTACTCTTCATTTTGTCTGCTTGTGCGAATTTAAAAAGAATTGTTTTGCTCCCATCTACATTTAGTGTCTCTTATTCCACAAGAGGTTATTTCCTTTTTCTCCATCTTAACACGCTTAAAGAGCAGATAATGTTTATTTCAGCAATACCTTATAAGCACCATAGGTCGCCATCCCACAGATCAGAATCATCAGTAGGGAAATTGCAGCAGCGATGCACATGTCTGTGGAAGAACATGGGGTTGACATCAGAATCAAATACAGCCAGCAAAACCCCTTCAGACAGACAGCTGGTTCTGTTTCACATAGCATTTTTGTTACGTTAGTTTCATTTCATGTTTTAAGTGTGTACATTTCTTGTTAAAAGAATTCAGACGACTTATTCCCAATTCATTTTTATGAAATCGAAAATAAGGTGTAACAATAATGAAGATTTAAAAAGGGTTAAAAATTAAATTTTCTCATGATATGTGTACCAAAATTTAAATGAACAAAAGTTACAGTATCCATGTTGCTTCTCCTCTTACTAACGAAATTACAGGTCAGTTCAAAAAATACATAAGCAACTAACATTGATTAGTTGGTATATAGGCCAATCTCAACCTGTCCTATGCTGCTATTTTTTTAAAGCAAATATAAGCAAATATCTGCCAATATCCTTATGATACTGATATCATACTGTCCATAATGCAAGGTCACATCTCCACATGGAGATGAGTTTTCACTTAAAGTGCTGTATATCTCCTAATCTACACAATTTTCACATGTGAAACCACTGCCTGACAGCCAGGGATTACAAGGATTACTAAAATAGCATTCATTTTGGATTATGTGCAAGCATCACGAAGCCTGACGCCATCAGGTAAATCTTGGTACAAGATTGCAGCACTATCTGGCTCTAGGAGACGTGTGATGAAGCTGTGCAAAATGTGTTCACAGATTTTTTTAATAATTCGGCTGAGTGATCAATTCTTCCTAAGCATCCAATCTGCCCTTTGCACTTTGGCCAATCGGACCTCAAGCCTATCATTACACAAAACAGTTATGGCTCAAGAACTGCTGAAGAACTTTTGGTCTTTAACACTGTATAAGAACCACAGATAAGGGAAAAAAGGCTTGCAAATGACAAAAGCCTTAATGTCAGGAAGAGGAGATGAATTAGACAATAAGAAACAAAAAGTTACACTGCTCACAGGCTAATGCTAATTTTCTTATGTTATGTATAGGTTTCTGATATTCTACACATACAGTGAAAAAAGCAATGCACTGAATTTACCTGATGCAAATGTACATCATTTACACATGAATAAAATCTATTACATTAACAAAATTTTGTTAATGTAAACCCCCTTTCTCCCTGTTCTTCAATGGTCAGGCAGGGTCCAAAGAGCAGGTATTATCTGGGTGGTGGATCATTCTCAGCACTAGAGTGACAGTGACGGTTAGTGTGGTAGTCAGCATATGTTGCGCTGGTATTAATGGATCAGACACAGCAGTGCTGCAGGAGATTTTAAACGCTGTGTCCACTTAGTGTCTACTCTATTAGATACACCTAACTAGTTGGTCCACCTTGTTGATGTAAAGTCAGACACGATAGCTGATTTGCTCCTTCATAGTTTGTATTAGTTGTCCTCTAATCCTTCATTAGTGGTCACATGACGCTGCCCACAGGACGCTGTTGGCTGGATATCTTTGGTTGGTGGACTATTCTCAGTCCAGCAGAGACACTGAGGTGTTTAAAAACTCCAGCAGCACTGCTGTGTCTGATCCACTCAGACCAGCACAACACACACTAACACACCACCACCACGTCAGTGTTACTGCAGTACTGAGAATGATTCAACACCCAAATAGTACCTGCTCTGTGTGGGTCCAGTGGGGGTCCTGAACATTGAAGAACAGGGTGAAAGGGGGCTAACAAAGTATGCAAAGAAACAGATGAACTACAGTCTGTAATTGTTGTACAAACTGCATCTATACTGTAAATGGAGCTGATAAAATGGACAATAGGCGTAGAAACAAGGAGGTGATTTTAATGCTATGGTTAATCAGCGTATCTGTCAAACATTTTTGGAAATATATTACAAACGACACATTTTTAAAAGTATATATATGGAAATATATTTCCTTTGCATATGGGATTTACCACAGCGTAACCTTATGACAGCGCTTATCAACTTTTAAGTCTGTTTAAAGGTATACTACATGCTTTTATATAGCCATTAGTTTATAAAGCAGAGGTGCTTAGGTTCCCAGCAATTTGGTACCTAAATAAAAGGCAAGTCTAACATTGTCCAATCATTTAGTGATGTCCGCTTTAGCATCAGATAAAAATCAAAAGAACTCTTTACTTAATCCTTATGTGGTGCATAAGTTGTCCATATGTTCAGCAGTATAGACTACTAGGCTACTTGTGCCAATTTGGCAAAAAGCACTCAATGAAAAAAATCCCAACACAGGAAAGGCTGAGCCAACAGCAAGAAAACAGAACTTTAATCCTCATTAATTAGGGCAATCAGATTTAATTAAAGTCACTCATGCCAGAGCTTGCGGCTATAGATGCAGCTATACTGGCCCTTCCTATAGGAACCTTTCAACTATATGTAACACTGTGTGGTACACTGTGTGCTGAATATTTTGATTATTTGTAACCATAGGTACTGGACATAAAACACTGATTTATTTTTGTAAGTATGGTAAATCTGTTTTATTACTAAGTAACAAATGAAACTGTATCATGAATTTAAGCAAAATCTCTCTTCATCTTGTTTGGAACTTTACATATACTCACGTAAGTCAACAGTGTACTCAGTCCTAACTTGATAATATGAATCTGCATTGAACTTTCATCATCTGACAGCCCTACCTTTGTACTTTTGTTAATATTTCTGCCCCTAATGTGTCCCTTGTTGCTGATCAATCAGGATAAGTGAGAAAGCAGCACTGGTTCATTGTTTAAACTCTTACGCATCTGGTGAACACTTGCATTGTCTAGAATAATTAGGTAAAAGCTAACTTACTTGCATCGTCCATGACGTCCAAATCTGTGCCAAGCTCAGCACTAGTGAGGTGGTAGTGGTACTGGACCGGGTCATTTAAAGCAGACAGCAGGATTAACAGAACTACTGCATTGATGAGCTGCACAGGAAAGAGGGAATCAGGGAACTCTGGTTAATCTGCAAGTGGGTGTACAGTAATAAAACAATAAATAATTACAAAAATGAAGGTGACCCAGATAGGAATAAAAAGTAACCGGTGTCCCAGAGTCTGATACTGATAGCAACACAAGCTAAACCTTCCCTATGTGAATGCTTCTATCATAAATCATCATTTACCCCACTGTCTGCTTTCTGCCCTCACTGACTTCAATTTGGAGCCACGGCACAAATGATTTGATCCTAAAATAAATTGTCTTTTAGGATGTTCGTGTTTCAATGTGTGACTCAATATCACATTTCAGAACACAGCAAAAGCAGTGTATCAGTTAGACTAGAGGCTAGAGTTAAAGATCACTGACCAGTCACGTAGACAAAATAATTTGTACATGAATTAAACTGAATGAGTCCTAATGGTAATTGTAAGGATTGGCGATATGACAATGTTATCATTATTGACAAATTATGTATTAGTATTTCTAGAACACTTAACAACCGTATGCATCATATAAAAGACATTAAGTTAATAGTTTATTTTGGCAAATGCTGAATTAAGAAAAATAAAAAATCCTTGCACTAATAGGCTTTCATATAATTTTTTGAATTTTAGCACTAGTGTTATACTTTAGCATTGTGTCAGTTCTAACTAGGGACAATGTGATTTTTTTTTACATTATTGTGATAAATTACATCACATTATGTTTTTCTGAGCATATCATGGTTTATATCAGTTTTTCTAGAACACTGAACAACTGCTTGTTTCATTGCAACTAGAGCACAATTAGTCTTGTATAACTGGAAGTGCAATATGTACAATTTCAATCATTGTACTCATACATCAGATTTTAAGTATACAGTTTTTTAAATGTGGCATTGCTGGTTCTTTTTCCTCTGTTCCACCTTCTTAAATCTCAGAATAATAAAAAAATTGTGATGCGAATTGTGTAAAAGTAACTTTAAAGCATCATGATGTTTTATTTTTGCCATATCCTCCAGCCCTAGTTTCAAAGCTAGGAAAAATGAAGTATTGTGTGTGATGCACATTGTGTACCATGAAAAGCATAACCCACTCCCTTCTGAAAGAGCATGACAGCGGATGATGTGAACAAACTGGCTTAAGCTGGTCAGTGCTCTGGTTTCCACAAAAGAAGCTGAAATGTTGGACAGCTCCATCAGCTTTAGCCCAGGAAACCCGACCAGTTTAATCAGACCTTTGTTAGGCTTCTTTACGTGATGATCATTTGATTTAAAAACGCAGCTCTATCTGACATCCTTTTACTGACAAAGCTTGTTATATTTTGCGTGTGTCTGCATTCTTCAAACGGGAGGCGCTCAGCAGTTTTTAGGTCACTGTATTATTCTCATCTCTTGCCGTGCAAAAACAAGGCTGAGAGATTTTTTTGAGATTTTTGCTTAAGGTAATTTGTTCATATTATAATCAGCTCTCTTTATGTTCCCTCCGGCTCCACAGCTGAGTCACAGATTTAGGTAAGAGGTCAAGGATTTGACTCGATTATGGTGCTATTTAAATACAAATAAGCTTTCTAAGATAATCTTAGACGCGAAGGTTAAGCTGCCATTGGCAGTGACATCGTATGTTTTTAACATAAAACTATCACCTACGTACATGTAGCTGTATTAAAGAGAATCAGGTTTTGTTTAATTTACAAAGCCGGACTTCATAACAGCAGAAGCTTCTAAGCTTCTTTCTCGAATTTTCCGTTCCACCTTAAATGGCGCAGCAGTCACGTTCAAGCCGTTCAGGCTATACGGGCGCTAGAATGGAACTGCCGAGCCATTTAAGGTGGAACGGAAAATTCGATAAGAAGCCAACTCGAGCCTCGCGCTGCAGTTTGTGTGGAGCTCTAAACCGCCATTGGAGGGCAGTGAACAGAAGATCTATACAAAGCTGCCCCAAATCTGGCTTTGAATAGAAATGAATGCCCACATCGCCACCCTTAAACACGCAGACGGTGCGAAACTGCCCACTGCTTCAGCAATTAAGCGGCGAATGGTGAAAAATCCCGTTGTTTACTGACCATGTACCAGATGCCCAGGATAATGGTGCCCGTCCGGACATGGCAGCAGAGGCAGCAGCTCGTCGTGTACCATCTGTCCCACGGCGAAATCATCTTTTCGTCTCAGAGAGCGCAGCTATTGCATGTATGGGTGTTTAGGGTGAAGTGGAGTCACCGCAGGGAGCTGTTCTTCTCCTCCTTCTCCTCCTCTTCCCCCTCCTTCTCCTCCGGGCTGAGCCCCGTCTCCGCTGTACAGCACTAACAGCAATAACAGCCCTTACGGCGCAGCTCAGCCAGCTCAACTCACCACGTGACCGTAGAGGGATATACTGGGACAGGGACGGACAGCAGGAGGCAGCGGGAGCAGTTAGACAACCAATCAAAGCTCTTCTACAACCAATCAGTCAGCGTTGTTCTATAACCAATCAGTGCCGTTCTAAAAACAACCAATCAGAGCGTTTCTACAACAAACTAATCAGTGCTACTCAATGATCAACCAGCGCCCTTCTATAATCAATCAGTGCTCACGGCCGGAAATTATCGAATATACACTCACTGGCCACTTTATTAGGTACCCTGGACAGTACTGTGAAAAGTTCAGAGCTCACCCTTTATTTATTTAAATTAATTTTTCAGCATCAGAAAAAAAGCAGAAAACGTATATATAAAAGGGGAATCCCACTGATCAAAATCTCTGCACATCATTAATATGTAAACAAAGCCATTCAGAGTGGTTTGATGTGAAATACTCCATTCTAGAGGAGCTCACAGAGCCAGAATTGTTCACAGTGATGGTGATAGGAACCAGACATCCAAATAGTTTAATGTCTCTAAAACCTCCCTCACAGAAAGGTATTAAATGAAATGGTTGTCTGATGTCTGAGACCCTGTTTGACATAGTTCTGAGATAAGGTTTTGGCCTAAAATCTATATTCCTAAATCCATTCATGGCGGAGGGCTACATGCAGGGCACCGTAAGGCAAAATAGGCCCCAGTCCCCAGTTTGTTGACATTGTGACCTCTGGTTCCTGTCACCACCACTGTGAAGAGATTTGAGTCGGTAAGTTTCTCTACAATGCACCACTTCACATCAAAGCACACTGAATGACTTATTTAATCACAAGTGCCAATGAAAAACAAAATTAAGTTTACTCACTGTAGACATCTTTTTATGAAGCTTTTAATGTCTATTCTAAAAGCTTTTTTCTTTAGCAAATAGTATAAAAGACAGCTCTTTTATAGTGAACCGCAAACATTTTCCAGTAATTTTTTTATATTGTCTTCTTTCACACTTGTGGTAATTGTAGAAGTAATGTATGTGCTTACAGTGGGTATTCAGTGACATCTTTTTTACTTAATTAGTCAAAATTAATTATAGATGTACGTTTAGCCACCTCAAATCATTTTGCTCTTTAGTTGCTTGTTTAGAAGCTGTATGAAATTACAGCAGATTTGCCTACATTTAGTTTTTTTTTTCCCAGAGCTGATATTACGGCCTAAAATTCACTTACAAAATAAATATATTTATTCAGGCTGGGATAATGCTGAGGGTGGAGTGTTCAGTATGTAAAAGCAGAGAACAGATGGCCCCCGCCAACAAGGATACAAGCCCCTTAAGCCACCACGAGCAGCAGCTTCATCACTGCGTCAGGGGATTTTCCGCCGCTTCTGTACATATAACCCACAGCAGTAATACAACATGGTGGTGTAAAAGATAGAAATATTCTTAAACTGGACCAAATGGAAGCTTCGTGCTGAGCTTTTTTTACGACCAGCTGTCATTTTTTCAGGCTAAAGCCAATGAGAGGATTAAAACACTGCCATCAAATGCTTGAGAAACACAAATTTAGTCACAGTTTAAAATCATTAGTAAACAACAAAAGCAGAAACTGCAAGGCTAGCAGGGGACTGCACACATAGTTTGCAGTGCAGCCTTGTTTTTCAAATGGTACCAGCTACTTCGCAGTCCTACACTATCATGGGGAGTACTCACACCTTCTCTCGCATATGTTCAATTGCCACAAAAAACCTGCCCATTGGCTTCCATTTTAAATGTTTGAGCTGCTGAAACACATTCACCACTTCTACTGAATTGTATTTTAACTGTTAAAAGGTTTTGTTCACAAGATGCAAAACTGTTGGTAAAAATGCCAGGCTGCTGCTTGCTATAAACAAAAGAGACAAATATAAGTATAGTGATGGAAAGAGGACTGGAGTAAAAGAGGAACAACTGATGATGTAATCACGTCAATCTGTGAAACATGGCATGTATGTACTGAACTGGCACACTTGTCATCACTGATGACTTTAGTGCTGACAGCAGCCGCAAAATTAATTCTGAAAAGTAATGCATCATCTTAGTCGCTTAAAATCTGTCAAAAAAGACAATGGACAAAGATATATTGCTACAAATAACACATAGTTTAAAATGTTGCTCAAAACGCAATATTCTTGACTGACTAATCTGCTGGAAGATTCAGTAATATCATACTTTCCAAAACTCCAAGGCATTTTTGTCCTTAGCCAGTGAAACTAGAAAATAAAGGACCAAATGTACACTGCATACGAGTGCATCTAATAGAAATGAAAAAAAAACAACAATATCCTGTTTTTGTTAAAATCTACAACAGATGCTGAACTTTTGTTGCATAGTTATTTTCTGTATGACAGCAGGAACACGAATGAAAAAAATCAACATCCTGTCACTGTTACTCCGGACGCTGTCAGTGTGATTCTCCTGAAGCACAAAAATAACCACACAGAATACCAATGATCAAATGTTTTATTTATTTTTAACAAATCAACATAGAAATATTGCATTGACTTCAGTAAACATGATCATCCATTAACCGGAGACATCGTATAAATACATCGGTTTAGTCACCTCTCTAATGAAAAACTAAGGCAGATGTCTGATTCTAAACCAGAGTACCTCGAATACATAGGATCTACCATAGTTTACAAAAGTGACCATGGGATGAACAACCAGTCAATTCACACATGGATGCATTTAAATTCAAGGCTCAAAGCCCAAAATATAAAACGGAGTTGGGGCAAAGATATTGAAAGATATTTTTTTTTTGATCTAGCAAAAACTGCAGTGTTGCCTACAGCAACACCCATTTCATGATCATACATTAAAGCCTTTATCCAGAGAGTAGTACTTGTATGAGTAGACAATGAATCTGGATGTGTCGATTACAATGAACGGTTAAAAGATTCGTGCAGCAGTAAGTGCAGCTCTGACATCAATCAAAATGATAATTCCACACCTTTCATTAAGAAGACTTGAAATCGAGACAGATGCTTACACTACAAAGAACAGATTAAGGCAACAGATTCCTGATACTGATACTATTAGTGGCATGGAAGAAAAGCTGCTCTTACCATTTCAGATCTCTCACCAGTAAAATCACTTTGACCTACTCATTACAAGATATCAAAACAAAATCAAACAGGAATTAAACGCTCACATTTCAACAAGATCAAAAAATAAGGAAAAAGAGACTTTTACAACCTTCAGCACAGTGCAATTAAAGAGAATTATAGAAAAAAGCCCTTATTAATTCTGTACATATGGCGTGGCTTTTTCTACGACAGAGGTTGCAAGAGAGGAAAAAAAGCTTCGAATTCTAACAGATGACAAAGTAAGGTAATGCAAAACATCTCAAAAGGTGTGTATAGTTCTACGAGAAAAAATATACTCAGGACAGAAAGGGGGAAAAAAGCACTGAGAAAATTTGTTTAGTGTTAGAAAAGTCTCTGTAGTAATTTATACTCTCCTTTTGTTCCAAGCCAGATCAATAAAAATACAGTAATAACAATCTCTTGCTGCCTCTACCGATGACTAAAGTACTTCATTACAGCTCGTACTGACTCGCAGTGCCTCTCAGTGGCTTCTAACACTAACTGCTACACTGCAATACTGCTGAACTCAATTCAGCGGTACAAGTGCCACAGGAAACAGTAATCAAATGGAAAGCACAAAAGTAAACGTTCTCAAAATTCAGCAATTTCCCAAATGATATTAACAAACTTCTCAGATTCAGGTTAATAAATTTTGCAAAAGTAGCAGTTGGAAAATAATCTTTAATCTGCTGCACTGCAAGAGTAAGAGATACCAAGGATGATCATTCCTTTACAAACTTCAGTGGAGCATAGTGCACAAGTTTTCCGATCCTTGGATCATTCTCTTTTGCTGTAATTTTCTTTTTTTTTAACTTTTTTTTGACTGAGCTGGTCTAACTCAGTGTTTATGCTTTTTTTGGGATTTCGATTCATACAGCAAATATCTTCAGTATAAAATTCTGTACTCTGAAATTATTGCATAAACATCTTTTGTCAATTCTTTTGCATATCATGGTTGTTCATGTTTCTCTTCTGGCCTTTTTCTTTTGAACTTGCTTCGGTTGTTCCCAATTCTGGTCAGCTTTCTCTGTGGAAGTAAAAATAGTTTTTATTTCAGCAAGACTGTCAGCTGTTTACCAACTGTGCACAAATCACAATGCACTGTACATCAGTGACCATGAACAAACACATTGAACATTTCATCTAATTAAACTCTTCATATCCATTTTATTTACATGGACTTCATGGTATTATAAACTTTTATTTCCAAAGACTACTACTTGAAATGCCTCCAGAACAAGGCAGTGAGCAATGTAAGGTTTTGTTATAACTGTTAATAATGGTGTACATATTTCAGTTTCTGGTTCAAACAAGAATTCTGCAATTCAGTCTCGATTCTGTGCAGTGCAGGCAACATACTTTCAGTCGCTTCCTTTAGCTTCACAGCAAATTGAGAAGTAGACGGTCTGTTGTTCTAAAAATAAGTGTATAGTCACAGTTTAAAAGTACTCACTCTGACTGGCAGGTGGCATAACATTCTGCTTGGCTGGTTCCTCCTGTGGAACGTGAGGACGGGGCTTGACAGCGCTGCTCTCTGCAGGTGCAGGTCTACCCTCGGCATTCACCTATGCAAAAGCACACAAAAACCCACAGATCTGAATAATCAAAGTCCATGATGAACTGTAAATACAATCCCATGAATAACAGAATATGGCCTCCAAATTAAAATTTAAGCTCTCAATTAGTGTTACAACGAATGGCTAGACATCAAGTTGTTCTACCAGCTCCTTTCTTGATAAAGCTTAAAACTGATGGTTTGATTTTTTTTCATATATATTTTATACTTGATGTTTACATTTTTATTCCAGTTGTTTGTCCTATTTACTTATGTTAACATTTTATTTTACTTGCTTTTGACCATGTTTTGTAAAAGAGGAACTTTTAAACGCAATTTTCATTTTGTTTTTAAGAAAGACATCTGGTTTTTATTTGAACATCTTTGAATAAAAATTACAAAATGTGAGAAGATGAAAACTGGCTACAATTTCTCATGATGAACGGTGATACAAACTGAACTGTGGCCCAGAACCTAAGGACTGAATCGAACTGTGAAATGCATGATCACCTCTAGTCCACGGTGTTTAAGGCAGTGCTCTAATATGAAAAAAAATCAGTATGTTCCTTGTGAAAATAAAAATAACTGGCAGGTGCCTTTAAAACTTTTTTTTCAGCAGTAACTTTTACTACGAAGTATTTTACCTGGGAGACAGCATTTTCATCCTCTGGTTTCTTCTTCTTTTTCTTCTTTCTCTTGGACTTGCCACTTCCAGAAGGATCTCCTTTCTCCTTTTCATCTTCAGAATCCTGCAACTGAAACACATACCGAACACTCAAATACACAATCACGTTTACTAAACTTTCTGCCTTAAAAAACTACAAACATTTAGGGGACCTCAGTCAGAGAATGCATAAGCAAGCTACACATTTGTTAAGTGTCCCAAAGTAGTAATAAAGGGAAATAATATATTAGAACCAAGTAGTAAAGTAGCAGCTAAATTCCACAACACATTATGACAAAGCAAAGTGTTTGTTAGCTTATTCACTGAAGTAGATAAGAGATTGAACATATGAAGACAGCAAAGGTCTCCTAACTAACCAATCACTTCACTCAGAAGTGAAGCAGCTCAATGTGCTAGTTCAAAGGGTCAGTCTAGAGTAAATATCAATATCAATCTGCCTGTCACAGCATGTTAGGCTTACAGTGTAGCTTATGCACATATTTGAAATCAAAGAGCAAACAGACCTATCACATCAAAATCAGATAAATCTTTAATAAAAGAGCCACTGCCACTACTGAAGAACTCACAGCAGAAACAGAAGTTTTCAACTAACCTTTGGCGGCTGAGAAACAGGTGTTTGTTGAGCAGCAGGTGTCTCAGCTTTCGGCTCCTCATAGTTCCCCCACACCTCAGTTGGAGCATTCCAGTCTGAACTTGGATCCGCAGCTCCAAGACCATCTGAAATTATTAGTGAACTCCATTTACTACCTAAAATACATTCATAATACATGCATTTATGTTGACCTATGTCAAACACTGATCAAAACATCATGCTCTCATGTTTTGATCAGCCTAATAAATACACTTATTCATCTTACTGAATCCAGACCACTCAAGGTCAACAGCACGGACAGCTTCCCATTTCCCCAAGTCAGCAGAAGACTGAACCACAGGATCTCCAGCTAAAACAAAATATTGAAAAGCAATAAATGGTGTTAAGTGTTTGATCACTGTGTATTTTAAACACTATCCCCATTATAATGGGGATAATATAAGCTATGCCTGCAATCTTTTTTTTTTTTTAATATTTTCACCCCCTTACATCCTGCATTATGTTCACAAAAAATAACAGAATTTAGAAATGCTCCTTAAAATTTTAATCCACATCTACAGATGTTGGTGGACACAGATCTGAATCAGATTTCCTGATCTGAAGCAGACATAAAATTGATTGTAGGCTGTGTTAGAAATTTAATCAAAAAGTAATAAAATGTCCTCTGCAGTCCTCTAAAACTGTCTACAGCATGGCCTCATTTATACAAAACCTCAAATTTGTTTTTAGCCATCAGTATTCAAACATGATTCCTTGCTACATCTCAGCTCTGACCTACTACTTTGACTAATGCATTTTACATTATTTTTACAGTGCCATTTGCACCGTTATAGTTTCTGGTTCAGGTGACTTAAACATCAATTATTAATAGGCATACTTTTTTTTTTTTGACCGACTTGGCTCAGATCAATTTTTAATTTGTGGAGAAATTACTGTACAAGAAACCATAAGATTTTACTTTCACCAAGGATGAGCAGTCTGAGTGAAAGCAAAGTGTTACTACACTTTGCTGAGCTTTTTAGAAAATCATGACTTAAATCTGTGAATTAGATTTTTCTAAGAACAATAATATACAATTAAAACCATGTTCATACCAGATGAGTTTAATCCAAGCATGGAGAAGTTCACTGTGTTCAGTTCTGTCTTAATTCTTCCCTCCATGTTAGTCCACGACCCTACTGAAAGGAGAGTAATACATTACATTTACAGTTTACCCATGTATGTGCTAAAGCAGGAAGGACTGTGTGTTATTGGCCAGATATTAAGACTTTACTAACTCTTTAAACATTATGATAAATTTAAAATTCCTCTAAGAAGCTGAACCCAGTCTGGTGAACTGGCAGTAAGAACTGCAATAAACCTGATTTGAAACATGCAGTAACAAACTAACTGCTTTGTAAGCCAGCTTCCCTTTTGGGTCAGTTGGCATGAAGCTAATGTAAAGTCCAAAACTGCTTTCGTATCCACAGATTAGATCATTAACACTAATCCTTTACCTTCTGATTCTTGTCCCCAGGCCAAGGGTTCGGAGTTCCTGTGTCCAGACGTTTTCACGCCAACAGACCACTTCTTACTGTCTGAAGCACTTACTTGAGGTGGAAGCTTTTCAGTCCAACCTCCACTGTTCACAGGATTCCAGCTGGGTGGTGCTACAGTTGCGAGAGATTTATATGACATTTTTCTATAGCAAGTATTAGCAGAAATATTAAAACAGTTTAAAGCATTTAATAGGTGACTTCTACAGTATTACCTGCTGCATTCATGTCTACACGCTTCTCAGCCTTCTCAGTCTTGTCAGCCTTTTCAGCCTTTGAATTCAATGATTCTAACAACAGAGACACGGTATGTTTAGGCGTGGTTGTTTCTTCGAAAATATAAAATGTAAGTTAAGGATGTCTGACAACACAAGTATTTTAATCAAGATCTCCTTTAAAGTCAATAATTTATCTGCTGATCAACAGAGAAGCAGATAAAACGGTACAGTTCCAAAAGAGCTTACCTTTGTTCTTTTTGGTGTTTGCAGGGGCTGAAACCACAGGCTGTTCCGTCAGCTGGCCAACATGACTGCCACCTCCAGGGCTTCCCGAGTCGTCACCAGGGCCCTTGTCCTTCCTGCGCTGCTGACGCTTCTCGCGGTTACTGACCTTGGTTTCCCAAGCACCTTACAATGAGTAATTTTGAGGTATATGCTGAAATAACATGCACTCCACTGATCATATTTCCCAATTTTGACACCGAACTGTCTATGCTACTAAACATATTTAACACTGTCAACTGCCGCAGAGACAAGTGGCCAATACTAAGAACACTTCATTCATTATCTAACAAGATCTAGCCTTGCAATAACAACTTAATTTGAACTGATGATCCTTACAGAATGGTGACCAAAAATTATTTAACAATAAACAAGAACCAAGCCGCCATCCAACAAGGATATAAAATGAAGATAAACAGTATGAAGAACATGGCTCCTACCAAAGAAAGCTTAATGTAGCACTGAGCTTTGAGCTTTTTTTTTTACTTTGAGGGAAAAAAGCAATACCTTGTGAAACATAATTAGGTACATTAAAAGTAATATAAACCAAACATACTTGTAGTTCAGCTACTTGACCGACGTTAAACCATTACGAAATAACTTACCTGAGCAAACTTTAGTGACCGTTATTTAACCTTTGATGTGACGTTTTATCTAATGCCCATGACTCAGCAGGTAATTAACTGGACAAACGCCATGAAACTAAATGCTTACATGCACCTGTTTTTATTCTGTGCAGAATAAGGGTCCCTACACTACACTTCACACTGTGTACCTGCTACACTGTGGCAGAAACTGATACCAAGTGTCATACCTTTTGAAACTCAAGACGTTAAAGAAATGGTTTGGCGAAAACAAAAAAAAACCTGTTCCTTTTATTTTGCTTCTTAGTCTTAAACTGGAGCTACAAGATTAATATCGCTAACACTACAAATCAAGTCACCCAAACCTTTTCCTTAAACACATGCCCAAAACATCTCAACCCACTCAAACCACATCCAGCTGTCTATTAAGACTGCTCAGACTTGTCAATGTGGTTCAGTATGAATTACTGTGAGTTATACAAACTATGAAAACTTCAATGTGTAGCTGAAAGCTGATGGCAGCCACTTTAGGCAACAGGTTTTGACTAAAGGCTGCCTGCAGTTTTCAGCTCCACTAAAGTTTTACTCCTTTTAATTTTTGTTATTAACCACTCCTTTCTGTATGAATTTAGTAATATCAGTACACATTTAAGTTCACAGATACCTTCATCAGGCTCCTTTCCATCTGTGGTAGAAACACTTTGGCTTTGCTTTACCTCCGGTTTTGTTTTCTTCTTACTTTTCTTGGCCTAAATACAAATTCATACAGAACTGTAAAAACATGGTCACAATATATTTCACTCTTCTACTCAGTAGTGCAATGAAACGTGATAAAATGAATAATGTAAGGATGGTTAAGATTCAAAGTTGAAGGAAAGGACTTCTGGGTAAACACTACAATCCCTATATCTGGATGTCCAGATGACCAAACTGACACTGATCCCCGCAGACTTGGTCTAGGAATGACCAGAAGGTGAGACCATAAACCCTCCTCATTACCCCATCCCCCAGAATTATGTACATGATTTAAAGAACAGTTATCAATGCACTATTACAAATCGATGTAATCCACTTACCTTATCAACTTTGTCAGCAGGTGGTTCTGTTGGTGGTGGTGGTGCTGGTGCTGCTGCTACTACCGGTGCCTGTTTAGGGACCTCCTGAGTGACTTTGATTTCTTCTCGAGGCTCAGGGGCCGTCTTGCCATTTGGCTGGGTCTTCTGATACGGGGAAACGAAAAACAACACTCTTAAATCCAAATAATTTATCATTTTCTACCCAACCTCATAACATGCATGTAAACTCCTATATAAACCTTCGACTATACACTAAAAAAACCGTTAACCACGCTAACCCATTTCAGAAAACTAACTTTAAGCTAAACACGGCTAACATTCCCGTTTTTTTAGTTTAGTTAAGTTTAGGCTGTTATCTGACTGAAGGGTGAATCGACTTATGCTTATCACAGATCAGATATAATACAGAGCCTTTCGCACAGCCACAATAAAAGTTTAAAGATTAAGCGCTAACCCGTGCTAGCCGAGATGTGCTAGGTCAGAGGCGGCTCTTTCGAAATTTGCGTTCACCGCCACCTGGTTAGCATGTTGGCTAACTAGGCTAAATATGGCAGATAAGTTTCGAGCCGTTCGTCGACAATATGGCGAACCAGAAACTGACTAATATGAAGCGAACTTAAGCCTCGTAGGCTTCAGTTAGTCTCCCGTGAACATGGATGTGATGTGGTTGATATCATTGCTAGTTAACGTTACTTTAAGTTTCTAAGGTCTTCGTTAGCTAATGAGTCGTGTTTTTTCCCCGCGGTGGTGTAAAAACAAACTTACTGTCACGGCAGAAACCCAAATCTGTGACGAGTGACCATCCTCAGAAAATCAACTGAGAGAAAAGGCAGTGGATTTATAGCCGACTGCCTAATTGGTTAAACCTATAACGTTATGTGGCTGTTCACGGCTTTAGTTAACGGGACTTAATCTGGGGGACGCTCTCCAGGAAAGCCCGCCTGTACCGACTTGGGTAGTCTGAAAAATCAACGAAACTGAAGTGAACATCTTGTTTGAATTTTCCCGTTCCACCTTAAATGGTGCAACAGCTACACTCTGGCGCCTGATAGAAAAGAGGCGTCAGAATATAACTGCTGCTCCATTTAAGGTGGAACGGGAAAATTCAAACAAGAAGATGGCGAATAGGAGGCCAGACAGCCTCGTAAAAACAGGGAATAAAGTTTCCACTTTTTATGTAAATAGAAAAACAAGATATTTATTTTTATGAGTTTACTATACCGCAAACAACGCTGAAGCCTGGAAATATCGCTGAAAATGTCTTAAAATCCTTTTTTTTACTACATAACGGCGACTTAAACCTGTGAGCTGACAAATCTCTGAGCAGCTGAAGTTTGAGAGTGGTTAGTTAGCCGCGCCGCTAGCCCGTCTGTGGCTAACGTGCACAGATTAGAGCGAACGGGGAACTCGCGCTGCGCACCTTTTCGCCCGCTTTCTTCTTGCTCTTTTTCTTCGGTTCTTCAGTTTTGACCGTCTTCGCCGGCGGGGTCTTGCCGCTATCCGTCGCGGTAGTAGCGGCTACGGTAACGTTGACGTTAACGCTGCTTTCCTTCGTACCGGTTCCCCGTTTTCTCCTCGCAGCTCCGCCGCAGGCCACGACCCACCACACCGCAACCAGGAGCCCGATCAGCGTCGCGGTCAGGATCACCCACGACGGCCAGAGCTCCGGGTTCACGCCCAGGTCCAGCCCGAACTCACTGTGGAGGAAATGCAGCCCGGACGACGCGAGCCGCCGGAGACGATCCGATACGAGCTCGGCCTGCTCCAGCGCTGCGGCTCGCCAGGTCGCTGCCATCTTACCGCACGAGAACGCGCACGCACGCACTCATACGCTCACACACACTGGAGCGCGCACGTTCACAGACATGAGAACGCGTACGCTGGCTGCTGTGTTTATGCAGAGAGCATTTTCCTTGCAGGCTAATTAGCACCCATTTATGTAAAACAAGTATCAAAGAAACTGTTTTGATTGGTACGTGGTGATTAAATGAGGTATGATATAGTTTATACCTTGGATGAACTTTATAACAGTGCCCGTCAGATTTTTTTGTTAACAATTAGGCTACTTACAATTTTCATACATTTATTCACAATCTCACAATCAAATTTGAATTTAGGGTTGTTTGGTGATTTAGCCTGGCCTGGGCAATGATTTGAACCACTGGTACCAGTACATAAGGAATGTAAACTGCTATGCTTGTCTCTCATGAGTTTAACAAAAAAGTATATTAAACAGATTTCTTATGGGGCCACATGACTTAAGGGACACGTGCGCCACCATAGGCTCCCTCTTAATTTCCTTTGGCAATATTAACTGTTTGTGAGAGCAGTTGTCTAGCAATAGGATGATCAGAAATACATCCAACATAGAAAACACATACTGAGGTATTGGTATTTTCCAAGGCTGAACCATATGGACATAAAATGTGATGTTCACTAAAGCTGTTGGATATTATGACCATTTGAGAAGCGATAAATTCTTAGAATAGTGTGCCCCTGATTGGATGTGCTGCCAACACTTTTTACTTATTTATTTATTTTGGTTGTGTAAACCAAAAAAATCAAACTAACCTCTCCATTAAGCAAATATCAAAAAAATGAATGACTGTATGAGGCCTCAAAAGACTGCTAATGGTGTCCCCTTGTGGAGAATCTGTAGCCTGCGAAATGTGAAATAGTTCTATGAGGTCCAAAAAAGTCCCTGATATTCAGCAATCGTATGGCTTTTTATTTTCATGTTTGCATTCAGGTTCAATACAAACATACAAAATATGTATATTTTTATTTTCAATACAGGCATAAAATATGATGATGCAGATTTGTTGTGACAGTAGCTGTTACAATTTCATGCATTACCATACAGTCTATGCATTTTGCACAAAATGGTGATTGAAAATAGTGATCATATTTTAAGCATTATTTTATTTTTATATTTGAATTGTCATTATACTCAATTAGAACTGCAGTTTTTAATTTTGAGCCTTGGGTTCCTCTCTGCCTCCTTTGCTGTCTTCCTCACTATATGTAGAGAATACAGTTGTGTTTTCTTTCAGGCCAGTCTGAGACTTCAATATTAGTGGTTAAGTAAACTTGTTTATTTAAAATTCTTGTGCAGTAAGAAAAATTAGAAATCCTGTAGTCTTCTTGAATTATAGAATGCAGTTATCCCACATACACAGCAAGGTATATGAGCTATGTTGTTTATTTTGTAGCCTTTACCCCTTAATTACCATCCAGGGAGACAGTACTTTTGCATCAGGCCTTTTTTTAATTATTATTTTCATCTCATTCATAATGCTGTCATGCTAACACAGATGTAGACCTAATTTTGAATAGTCCAATCTAAAATGGACATTAAATTAATCACTAGACCTATGTGGTGGTTATCAACAACACCAAGAAAAGACAGGATATATAAGATCAAAAGTTTTAATCAGCGTTCAAGATCTTATAACACTGTGTTGAATACAGCAGAAGAGTAACATAAAATAAATAAAATAATACCTAAATCACCCATGACTGTTACTTTACATCCCTCTGTAAAACAATAAAACAACAATTATCAACATCCAATGTTTGAACAGGTTTTTAAAAAAAGGAGCTGTGATTTGACGGTACTGAAATGATTTCTGAACTGTTTTTTTTTTATAAAAGACTTACAATCTTCTCACAGCATGATTGTTTGATAGAGTACCAACTGAGGTAGCTGAAATTAGCCTTAAAAACAAAAAGGGCATCCCAACTGGAAATATTGTGAGTATTTTCCTAGTACAAACCTATTAAATATTTCAGTTTTTACAGACTGTAAGTGGTGTTCTGTTGTAGTCATATTTCACTGGACACTCACATAAGCCAACAATAATAGAGAAAAAGTTTTGCATAAAATTCTCTGTGCCTAACAGTTAGTCTTCACTCTCTCACAGCTTGCAAAAATGCAAAAATTTAACATCAGAGTATCGGAGGACTTTGAACGAACCACTTTTTTGCTCCTGTGAACTGACTGCTTTCACTTCTTCTCAAGTAGATGTTCTTCAGCTTCAATTATATACTGTACACTGTAGCCCATTAGAAATCTGCATCAAGAGTAAATTCACACTCCACTGTATTTGACATCACTCCAAATCGTTGGTACTCGGCCACTCGCTTCTCAAAGAAGTTGGTTTTTCCTTCCAGTGAGATGGACTCCATGAAATCAAAGGGGTTCTCTGCCTGATATACCTTTTGGGGGATAAGGCAGAATTTCAATATTAAATTTATTAAATCAAAATATAAAAAACATCACTCAGCAACTACAGCAGATAAAGGAAACAAACACTATTGTTCAAAAGTTTGTAATCAATATATAGTATAAATAAGAAAATTTTAATCTTTATATCATTCAATAATATAAGCCAAAAACAGCTGAAAAATGTTGGCCCTGTGCATTTAAAATAATTACAAGAATAATTATAAAAATTAGGGATACACAGACATGGAAATTGTGGGATGATGCATTTATCTGACATTTTTCATGTATATATATGCTAATGCTGAGAAATTGAGAATGGATCCACCTAGAATAGAAATACAGAGAAACGTAACATCGATTTCTATAGGGTTACAAATGTAGTAAAAGGAATAAAATGCACACATTTTAGCCTCAAACATTCTGCTGTTTCAGAATAAATACATCATCAAACATCAGTTGGTCAAATAAAAAAAAAATCAATAAATAAAGCAAAGTTTTTTTTAAAGCAAAAATACCGATATCATTGAGCCTCATTCACCAACCATTCTTAAGAATAAATTTCTTCTTAAAACTCACTTATGCACCAAGATTCTGTCACTCACTAATGTTTTCTTATTTGGGATTTGTTCTAAAGTAAGAACAGAATCTACACACACTCAAGAGCACAAAGTGCGAACAATTCTGCGGTTTAAGAACACGTCATGAACCTGACGCAGACTTTTCCTTAGGATCTTTCTTAAGAATAAATTTAAGGAAAAAAAATGCAGATATTGGTGAATGAGGCCCTTTGTGCATCCATAATAATACATAATAGGTAGCTGTAAAACATTTCTGAATTGTCCAGAAAGATGAACAGTAGATTATTCCAAAATGACTGCAATACATTCTGATAAAATCAATATTCATATACTAATTTTTGAGATAAGGGACAAAACCTCTACACCTCTACAACATCTTTGTGTTAAAAAATCAATAAAATTAAAAATAATAAAAACACTTGGAAGTTAGATATAAAGGACCTTTGTACACTCATGAAATTAATCAATTTTTTAATAATTTCATTAGAATTAAAATCCAGGCTTTATACTCAGTAACTTAACTTGTCCTCAGCAAGAGGTCACAATGTCAAACTGCCAAAAAGTGTTAAAATGCTACAAATACATAAATATAAATATCAAATGAAACGACTGGTTAAGTAACACATCACATAATACGTAAACTTTAAATTTCCATAAAAAACTGCCTATCAACGTTGCGTCCTCACTTTCTGTCAACTCTGTCGGTTTTTTTTTATTTTTATAACCCTGAATAAATCAGGTAATGTCATGGTCAGCTATAACCCTAACAACCCCTTTTCCACTTCCTGCTCTGGATGGATGCAACAGTAGGACACTTTGTCTGGTAAGTTGTCAGTTTTATGATATTTTAAACAAACAATGTTGATATCACTGCAGTCACAGCTTTAATGCGTCAATACTGTCTTCCCATAATAATAATCTTAGTAAAGAATTGTGGAATGAATGTTGGTATTTCACTTCAGGTTATAGAGGCAGCTAGAAAATGAAAAAAAACACAAAATGGCTCCAGTGTACAAAGAGACGGTTAAGATGGGACAACATTTAATTTTGTCAACTCCGTCAGGTTTTATGTCCACATATGCTAGTTAGTTACAGGAAGAGCCCCCCTGGAGTAACTTAGGGTTGAGCGCCTTGCTTGAGGGCACCCTAATTACAGTGTATTATCTATACTTGAATAACTTCTTTTTGTTGCCAAGATACTTAATATATTTATATTTAATATGGCATCTAAATCTGCAATGTATGAGTTATTACTATATATAAAATAACAATAATTGTTAATATGAAAAGTGATTCCAAACTTTTAAACGAGAAACTCCAGTACTCTGGATATTAGATCTGACTACACTGATAGAAACATACACATAAATTACTAACCTTTGGTAATCCTAAATCGGTTAACAACCTGTCAGCCACAAACTCGATGTATTGTCTCATCAGAGAGCAGTTAATTCCAATGAGGTCGACTGGTAAAGCTTCAGTTAGAAACTCCTGTAAAAACAAGCAGTTCTGTTATAGTTTTGTCACAACTATACAAGAAATACTGCGAGGTAGCAGCAGGTCTTTTGAATGGCACTGACCTGTTCAATGCTAACCGCTTCAGTGATGATGTCCCTCACCCTGTCAGCGGATGGTTTCTTTACCAGGTAACTGTGCATAAGGCAGGCGAAATTGCAGTGCAAACCCTGAGAGATTTCAAAATATACAGTGGGTTAGAATCACATTTATCATACTCATTTGGTAGATTACAACTTTGTGAGTATATTTCTTCAGGAATGCATAGTGTTCATGCTTATTCTAAATAGCCTGAAGCCACCTTAAAAATAACAAAACCTCTACACACCTCATCTCGGCTGATGAGCTCGTTTGAGTATGTAAGTCCAGGCATCAGCCCTCTTTTCTTTAACCAGTAGATGGCGGCAAATGACCCCGAGAAAAAAATGCCTTCTACTGCTGCGAACGCTATTAATCTCTCCCCTGTGAATATAAGTTGATATTTCCATAGAGCTGGGTGTTGTTTTGATAAATTACATTACAATATGTCCCAATAAGCTTTTCTAAGCATATTATAGATACAGTCAGTACTTAAAAATCTCATCCCATTTTTTTAAACTTACCAAAGGTAGAGTTTGTGTCAGAGATCCACTGTATGGCCCAGTCTGCTTTTCTTTTCACACAAGGCATGGTCTCAATAGCGTTAAACAAATAGTCTCTGTTAAAAGATGGAGGAGACATTTCAACAGATTAAGCATCTTAATGTCACAGTTAGTGTGCATTTCTAATAGATTTAATCTATTTCCTGTTTGGAAATTGCCAGTTTATCCACACATCATGTCTTCAGTTGACATCTGGAGAAACATTCATTATATGTAATGTCATTATATGTAACTGGCCAAATTTAAAATTGTAATCATTACTATATCTGTTGTAAACAAGCCTACTAGTCTGTACAGTGGTGCCAAATTGTCCAGAGTGTGAGGCTGTCCAGCTTAAAGACTAGGAAAACCCCTTCTGATGATGTATCTTTAAGATGGAAGGAATGTCTAAAAAACTACAGTTTCTCAGAGGTGGATTCATGAGGTCATGCTGTCTGAAATGTTTTTTTTTCTTTTTTCCCCAATAGTTGGCTAAAGCAGAAAGAAGCCAGATAAATAATATTACTGATAGGAAGCCAAATATCATGTCAGTATTTATTACCCTCTACATCAGTATATTAGTGAATTAGTGGATATTTTTATCTTATTGGTTCTATGATTTATTTGCGCAATGCATGCTGGGTATTGTAGTAAGAGACCATTGAAAAAATATATAAAAAGGATATAAAAATGTAAATTCAGTCAAACTGGCCACAATGCCCTTTTAAGTCTTACAAAATGTATAATTAAAATGGCTTCATTAGCAACAACTGTATAATAAAAGAGTGTTATGTTGTTTTGCAGTCCTGACAGACTTACAAACAAGTCTTGTGGCAGACATCATAAGTTCTTATTTTCTGGGATAAACTTCAGGATGCTACTAATTTTGTTCAAACTTACCCTTTAAATCATAACACACAGTCTAATATATATTATGTTTTCTATGTGCCTTGACGTGCACAGTCTCTTTCACGACCTACTTATAAAACCACATTCTCTTTCATGTTTGCTTATAAAACTGCATTACAAAACAAACAGTTAACATCAAGGAGTACTCAAACTGCAAATTGTGCATCTGTCACCTGCACTTAGACATTTACTGCACATCACTTGCTGCAAGTTGAACCTACTGTGAATAAACCCTGACCCTACTGGTGTCCTCTCACCTCTCCTTTAGGTCCCTGATATAGGTGTTGATCAGCATGCTGTACATCTCTGAATGCACATTCTCTATGAGGATTTGGAAGCCATAGAAAGAGCGTGCTTCTGGGACCTGCACCTCCTGACTGAACCTCTGCACCTGCAGGTGAACCAGACAGACAAAGCAGGTCAGCACAGTATCACAGCAGACAACTGCATATCAGCATTGAGGATTCCTCCACATTTGGGTGATACATTAAAACGTACCATGAAAATGAAGCATTTTGATATCATTCATTCCACATAGCATCTCAGTATACACACAACTAACCTGTACAATTAACAAAGTAATTTTTTTTATTTATTTTATATTTTACCTCCATACACAATTACAGATTATTATTGCAGGGGAATATCTTAATCCATCCCCTTTAAAAAGGAGCCGTACACACTGTACTCTTTTGTGAGTTTGACAAAAAATACATTATGGCTTTAAGAGTGATATAAGCTCAATACGTTCTTTTGCTGGTGGGCCTACAAACCACAGCAGAAAAACACACAAAAAAAAGCTCACCAGGTTCTCGTTGACAATGCCATCACTCGCCGCAAAGAAAGCCAAGACATGTGATATGAAGTGTCTCTCCTCCGGCTTCAGTTTCTCCCAGTGAGGCAGATCCTTTGATAAATCCACCTGCACACACCAACAGAAATAATCAACAACCGTCTTCAGTCACCAAAACAAAGACGCCTCAAGACGTCTTTTGTGCCAGACTAAACAGATGGCTGCAAAGGCTGAAGCCAAACCTGGCGTGAACCCAAGACCGTTAAACTCGTCCCCACTGAGCCCAGCTATCATATTAGGAATGTGAACCTGACCCAAACCCGAAAATGTTTACGTTCTCTCCATTTTCGCACCAGAATAAGTAGAGATGGATTCTCACAGACCTTGTTTTTTAATGCCTTGCTTGGCTGCTAATCGCTTAAGTTGATGGCTGGAAAATGCTGTGTGATGTAAAACTGCCACTTAACAAACCTGTAATAGTTTTGATAGAAGGGAATAAATGATAACCTCAGTATTCCTAATTAAAAAGCTAAAACCAAGTCAACGTGCAGACCAGTGTTGCTGATTTTAGCTGCAGTCTCCACCTTATAATGAGAGTTTATTATTAATATATTTTTTGGGAAAGTGATGATCCTACTACAACAATTATTCTATTATATTACTATATTAATAATAGACTACTTTTTATTACATTGTACCTACACAGCTTAACAAGGCACACTGACCCGATGCAAAGCAGTTTGATAATAAACCACTAATCTTTCCAGTTAGAGGAGAATGAGAGAGAAAGAAAGAGAATGGGGCCCTGAGAGAGAGAGAGAGAGAGAGAGAGAGAGAGAGAAAGTACAACATTAACTTGAAATTAATAACTATAAAACATCAACTAATAATAATCAGTTTTCACTTATTAGAACACAAACTGACCACAAAACTGGACCTAATGCTTTGGGCTCAAGTAATAGCAGATTTTAAGACTCAACAGTCATTAAAACACTGTGTAGGTCACTATAGGGTGTGATGAGTGCAGCCATTTATGCTGTAGTCGAGTGGTTTCCTGGTTAAAGTATAAACAAATCATTCACGTTATGTAAGTACAGTGTTGCGTAAGTGAAAAACAAAATGGTATTAAGAAAATATTAGGGTTGCAGGAAAACACATGTTTTAATAGCATTAACTGGCCCTGACCTCATATAAACAATAGCCTTATTTTACATTCCCACAAAGGCTGATCAACAGTTAAAACATGCAGAAGATCAACAGATGTCACTAGGGTCCAGCAAACATGAGACTACTTCAAGTTTCCTCTGACACAGCTGGTCATCTCTGAGCAAATAAACACAGATTTTAGAATTGCACAGCCAGCAAAGTCTAAACTTAAGTGCTTTTAGAAATGCTTACTTCAAAAAAGCATTGCGCTAAAACAAGCAGCAGTTTTCACAGATGTTTTCAATCCATCCCTTGCTCACTGTCCTAGTCTCTTATAGTTCCTGTTACAAAAAAGCACAAACCAGCTTCAAAGTGTACAAATCTACTGCACTCAGTTTTAGTTTTACCCAAAACACGATGACGGCCTACTCATCTCCAGCCTGAGTCAGTCATTACCCCTTACTTACACCTAGACAGTCTGTATACAGAGTAAATAGACTAGAGTATCATAAACACAGACCTTCACTTCATGTTGGAAGATCTGAGCTCAAGAGGTAATTTTGTTCTTTGTGAAGTATCACACCATACTCTTTCATTTTTACTAAACAAACTGTCACAAATTGGGGTAGATCACTATTTGAAAATGGCTTTGCAATCTGATCACATGCAGGAGGATGTACACTTCCTGCCATACTGTCTGCACAGGTGCACAAGACGCTTTCTGTGCTATTCCCCTGACATTCAGCTTGCAGAACTCACAGTCTTTACTTGAGTGTAAAATGTTTGTGTTCAGAAATGAGGAAAACAGCTTAGAGAGATACTCTGTCATGTGTTTTACACTAGCGTTCAAAGGTTTGGAATCAACTGCCATATTAAGCATTTTCTGTCATTTTCTCTACAGTAAACTAACATGGTGTGGATTTAAATATTATAAAATATTCACTAAAAGGTATTTTTAGTTGTTTTACTCAGTATTTCAGGAATTTGGTGAACACAGAAATTATTGAGGGAAAAACAATCTTCTCTAATTATCTATTTACAATTTTTTTGTCAAGTTGTGCCTTGACCTTTCATCACCACTTCTGAAATATGACAAATTCTACGACGAATTCTGGATGTTAATTTTATTATAATTTAACCCTCGATTTTATACAAATTTCTCAGTCGTCATAGAATCCTCTACAGCTCTGTTCATCCCTGGACACATTTAACATTGCTTTATTGTAATTTACAGCTTTCCTAGCATCCTATTAATCAATTGAAATGTGTGATGTTGCACAGGAGTAGTATACAGAATCTACACAGAATTTACACATTTAACTGCAACCAAATTAGTTTTATAATATTGAAAACAGTGAAAGGCAGCGAACAGTTGTATACAAAAAATTTAGCACCCCTTGTTAAAGGACATTTTGTTGATCTTCGAAGTGAAAATAAGTAAACACATCCTCTGCCTTTTGCAGAGCCACATTTTGTGGGGTTTTTTTTTGTGAAATTCACAAATAAACAGTGTCTGTGCATTAAAATATACAGAAGTGTGTTTTCTGTAGAGAATGTTCACTTATTCTCACTTATGAAAATCAACAAAACATGCAATTTGACCAGGGACACACAAATTTTTGCATTTGACTTTATGTACTATTCCATTTGATGGCATCGTTGTCAGGTGTGCTGTTATCTGTACAGTGTACAGTGGGTTGTGTCTGTGTTGTGAGTGGGGCAAAATTAAATTAAGCTCGTACTCACCTCTTCTACAGTCCAGAACGAGGCCTGGGCCTGTTTGTACATTTTCCAGATGTCGGGGTACTGAATGGGAAAGATGACGAACCGCCTTTTGTTTTCTCTGAGTAGCGGCTCATCTTCGGTACTCTGTGGATCCACATCTTTGTGCCCATTCTGACAAACACAGACAAATAAATCTCTTTTAAATGCTGTGTCATTTTAAAAATTTCATCTATGATGAATGTTTCATTTGGCCTTAGATGATAGCAATCCAGTCAGGAATTAGAGATACGTTATTCATAAAGTAGCTATGTTTTACAATTCATTTTTTAAGTCTAAATGCTTTTACTTCACATTTTTAGTTATTTCATTATTTCGAAAAGTGTGAAAAGTGTGTGGAGGTAGCAGGTGGGGGCGCTCTAGTTCCCACACTGGGGAAAATAGTGCCGTTTCCTCCCCAGTAAAATTAAATGGACGGATCAGTGGTGGTTCAGGTATAGTTTATGTAATTCTACATCGGAGTTACAAGTATTATAACTAAACCTGAATGATACACAACCCGTGCACATATCACACCACTTCACTCCCTGCCTTCTCCATCGACACTGCTTCAAACGTCAAATTCGCCTCTTTCTTCTTCAGCTTCATTAAATTTACAGCTTTCGAGCTTGAATAACATCAAAGTAGGTTACATGTGCTGCATCACGACACAGGGCAGAATTCACACAGCTAACCATTCACACAGCGAACATGAGGCCATCTATAACAAAACCATAGTAATAACATATGGTATAGATTTAACGTCACTAATTCACCATCCACGGTTGAGTAGTCTGCACTTTCTTTGTTATGAAACGTCGAACAACAGCGGGATATTTACAGACTCATCACACATCCAGCAGAATAAAGAGCAGCAGCCAGCTTTTCTCACCTCACACTGCTTGTCGTCCGTCCGCATATTCACCACATCTGTGTCCATTAGAGATGCACTGCTAATACTGTACTGTAACCGTCCCTGTCATCACAAGGCGAGTGGATTACAAACACTATGGCGAAAACCTTTAGCAGGGCCGTTTAGCACCTCCTGTGGCCTCACAGGGAATAACAACGCGTATTTAAATGACTGGGGCCAAACTGCACCGAGGAGGAAAATAAAATGTAAGACAAAGTATTACAGTGTTATTTTTAATTTAGGGATATTTTAGCTAACACGTGTTTTACTGTTTTAAATTACTTTTTTTTTAGCAGGATAAAGCTGCTAAAACGTTGGATTTTATTGACTGAGCACAAGTAACAGCTGTAAGTTCTTCTACTAATCTTATGATTCACTTTTGTGTATCTTGCATAAACCAGCTGATAGTAAGATATAGACAGACTGAAAAAGATGTAAATTCAACATCTCAATAAATCAAGTGATGAATGATTAAATCATAGTGACAGCGCAGGCACTGGGCTTAATGTAATCAACTCTTTGAAATGCATTACATTTACACTTTGTTTTATTTTTTTGAAAATGCTAGCTGCCCTTTACATTGTGCAGACATGTTATGATGAATGGACCTATAGAAATGGTCCAAATTGGTTTGGAATAAAACTTGGTTACATTTAAAAAAAAAAGTTGTGGTCGGTCCTGAGAACAAACGTCTACTTGGAAAACTTTAACCCACAGCAAATAGGTCAGAGTCTAAAAACCTTCTCTGATCTTGAGAAACAATGAAATCACTGCTGTTGTCAGCAAGACCGGCTGAGGAAAACAACTGATAGCAGAAGAATCTTGTCAGCTGCAGAAATCATCCTGTGTAGTGCAGATACAAAAAATACTTAACTGATTTCTAAACCACAGTTATATAGCTCAGCATACCTCTTACCAATAGAAGCACCAAAAACAAAAGGTCCATAGCGCAAACTGGGTAGAAACTGGATAAAGCAGTCAAACATGCATTTCCTTTGGTGAACAGGAGGCTGCAGTAGAAGCTTCTCAAAAAAAGTGAATGAAAGAGGACATCAGTTGGTTATGTAGTGTTACTACAGTTCACTCTATTGAACTCATTTAGTTTTATTACTTTTCCACAATACTTTTACTCATGTTTCTGCAAACAAAAGTGCTCCAAATTCAAAAGGCTCTGCAATTCTCATTTTCATCTTCAATTTGGCTAGAGTAAAAATATTAAAGGGGAATTCCACAGATTATTCACAATTTCTGCATAATTAACTTGTTAAGATGTAAACAAACTCATTCAGAGTGGTTTGAAGTGAAATGTGCTTTTCTAAAGAAGCTTGCAGAGTCTGAATCACAATGGTGGTGATAGGAACCAGACATCTGAAGCATTTAATGATTCTAAACGCTACATCACAGAAAGCAATTTCATGAAATAACAAATGCTGATTTGATTGCTGAGACCTTTTTAAATGTGTTTTGGGATAAGGTTTTAGATAAGGTTTAGAATGTATTGTGTATGTAAGTACATAAGGGGCAGAGTAGTAACTGCAGGGTGTTGTGAGGCAAATAGTCTTTTTAGATTTATCACTATTTTACCTTTATCAGTATTACATATAACAGCCCAGAACACTCATGGTCCACTGGTCATTTTGGATAGAATATGAAATGGCTGTATTTGTGTTGTAGAGATCATGATCCCAGGTTCCTATTAGTACCGTTGCAAAGAAATCTGTCAGTAAGTTTCTCTACAATTAACCATTTTACATCAAACCAGTCTGAAAGACCTCGATTTTTTGTTTTTTTTTGAAAAATCAGTGGAATCCCATTTAACTTCGAGGTCTTGTAGCTTATTAGGACATTGTGTGCAATTATGTTTAGTGCAAGGTGTTAATAAACCCCTTACAACTCCATTTATTACATACAAAGGCTTATTATTTAGTAACCACAGTGACTTCAATACAACTGGCTAAGTTATTCTTAGGTTATATATATATGCAATAAAACTTGGTGGGCATGCTGGTGGGCCGTGGCCATTTAAGGAGTTCATGGTTTGGTCAAAGTTTAATTGGTAACCATCACATTTTTGATAATAAATCAGAGAAACTCGGTATTATTTCAGTCAAAGAAGTGTATTAAGTTAATATTTTTCATTACTTCAACAAACACAATATTACAGTCAAAAACAGGCTATGGTCCGTAAGTGCCTTAGACAAAAATATTTTACATTACATCGCTAAGGGGTGTGATTTTATTAACTGGAGTGGAGATTTAGATAAATCTTGAAATCAAAAGGCATTAAATGACGCCTTTCAGAAGGTAAGCAGCACTGCAAGATATGATCATAAGTTTCATTGCACTAAAATGAAAAAATAGACCTGATATGGCAACCTTGTTCTAACAGGAACAGATAACTGCTGTTCCTAAAACACTTTTCAGCAATTTTCATATAAACTCGGCAAACATCTCATTCACCCATTAAGACATTACAAAGCCATTAGGTCTATCAGTGTTGTTCACAATGAAAAATATGATCAAATCTTTAGAACAGCTATTTATGAGGAAAAGCCTGAGAGAAGCTGTCAGAGATCAATAGTGTGAATCTTGCAGCATTTATGGTGACTGTTACTGGTGTTTTCAGCACATTGCCTCAGGCACTTGCACATTTTCCTTGAAATTACTTTCCACAAACCAAATTTCATCTTAAGTCACCTTCCTCAGTCCCAGTTTGAGGAGGTTCCTTTAATGTCCTTGGTGTTTGTACCGGAAAAGACAGAGAGTAATCTACAGGTGCGACCCTATAGCTTTCTTACCAAAAGTCAGGTCGCAAAGTCAATCACAGTACACATAGCCAATGGACAGCATGAAATACATATCAATATTGGGAAATACTGCCACAATCCATGTACTGAGGATACAACGAAAGATGTTCCTCCACAGTTCTATAAACTCATGGTCAACAAGGATGGAGAAGCATTGATCTAACAAATCAATATCAAAATTTCACTGTGTTAATCTACACAATGGGTCGTAATTCATCTGATTCTATATTCTAAACTCATTAAAATCACATCTGATTTTAATATAGACAAGTGCATAATGGTGCAACAGACAACTCATTTACAAGACTGTCAGCAGGTAATCAATATATAATTAAATTAATTGAACACTTATGTAAACGATTTTTGATTAAGAAAACCAATGACTGGATTCCATCTCCATAGTCATCCATTTTGTTGCATATGTTATTACTAAATACGGGGCTCCTGGACTCATTCCTTTGGTGGTCAAGGGAAATGAGCATTTCAATCAGTAAATTGTGAGAAACTGAGATAAGGACAATTATTTTGTGATCCCAATGCCACTGGTCTTTTTCCTTTTCTAGTGGCTAAGCGTTATTGTCCCCACCCATAGCTGCTGGAATGTTCACTGCGCAGGCCATTCAAATGCCCAGGTTAGGTGTTGGAGTCAGGTTTTTCAACTACAAGCCACACTGGACTAAGGAAAAGTTCTTCATGGTGGTGTCAAGAGAAATTCCAGCCTCCTGCATCTCAAACCTGGACACACACACAAAAAAAAAAACACAAACAAAAAACATGAGAACATTTCCAAGATCAATCTTGACATTTAATAAACTAATTAGCTTGTGTTATATAATATATAAGTGTATATATATATATATATAAGTGTGTTATATAATAACTACTTGGCTTGCATAACCATCTGATGGGGTAACAGAAACAACACAAGAGGGAAGAGGGAGTAAAGCATAAACAAAAACAAAAAGAGAACATCTAGTGTGTTCCTAATTACCAGTCGCCTGTAGAAATTGTGTAATACACAGGAGGTTTGTCTGAGTTACTGATGGCTGCTGACTCCTCTTGACCACTGGCCCCCATGTTGTTGAAGATCAGCCAGTCTCCCACAGCGAGCTCAGGGAGAAGGCAGCGCTCCACCACCTGATCCAACGCGTCACAGGACGGACCCCACAAGCTGCTAGAGAACACTGGCTCATCTGCTGTGAGGGACATCTGCACAGAAAAGAAAAACAAAATGCAGGAGCTCAGATGACCACACTCAACTATGAACCTAATTTGGACATGCATGGTTTTGCACGTGGGTTTCTTTACCTTGTGCGCTGTGGGGGATGGAATGGTGCTTCCCTAACAGCTTGCCCACAAAAGATCCATAGACACCATCATTCAAATAGTACAAAAATTCCGGGTCATCATTCAGAGTTGGCTCTGCTGAGGATTTGAGTGACATATGAAATTAAAAGAGGGACATATAACACACAGTATATTTTCATACTAAAATATTCTTTATGGGGTGAACTGAGAGAGCCTTTTAGACTCACCATGAAGATCGCTGGCTACCACTTTCTTTCCAATGACATTTACAACCAGGGTGAAAGAGGAAGACACATAAAAAGTTCCTGGCTCAGCAATAACACGCACCCCAGACGTAACAGGGAAATAGGCCTCCAGCAAAGGTCTGATAGCAGCATGGACCTGATCACAAAGGAAAAAAAAAAAGGAAAAAAAACTCAGCATTTTGAAGATTTAAGATTATTAAATTGTCAATATAAATTTGTCATTTCAAATTAAACATTACAAACAATGGGTGATGTGGAGGATTTACAAGTTACAAGATACCTGCTTCAACTGAAACTCAGAGCCACTGAATCCACTGCCAATATCCAGAATTTCCATATTAAAACCAAGCTCCTCCTGTAAACAAAAAAAATAATGTACGCACTTGACATCTGAACATCTCAAGTTAGGAAATGTGTTATTTTAATCACAACTGTTTTGATGCTATATCTTCATTTGGCCACTCACCCCCATATCAAATACACAACGGGCGTCAGACAATGCATGGGTATAAACCTGGGAGTCCTTACATGATGTTGGTACCTGGAACCTGTAGGGTTACAAACACAAGATAGTTCAAGTGAAACTCTGGGAAGACAAGACGTCTATCATAGATGTCCCAGTTGCTATAAAAATAACTTACGCTACTCCAACCACATCCATGCCCAGCTCCTTGGCAGTTTCCAAAAGGTGCCTGCAGCTCTTCAGGGAGCAGCCAAATGCCATGCTGGCCTCCTCTGTCTGAGCTTCAGTGGACAACTGCAGGAGCAGCCTGGAAACAGTGGAAAATAACAGAGACATTGCCAGTTTAGAAATCAAACATTAAGCATGAGGATATGAAACACGTGTACATTAAAACGGACACTGACCTGGCATTTGGGTGAGCACGGGCAATTTTACAAAGTTCTGCCTCGTTGTCACACACCAGGTAGTTGATGCCATTTTTGGCAGCATGTTTAATGTGCGAGAGCTGCTTGCAAACACCCGACAAGATGATGTTCTCAGGGGGGACGTCATGGTTGAGTACCAGGGAGATTTCAGCCTGAAAGTACAGATAAATAAATACCATGTCATTCAGAATCCAAAAAATTCTGCTACTTTTCTGATCACGCAAATAAACAGAGAACAGAATAGTAAAGCTACTGAGCGTCACCTTATTTGCACAGACAAAACCAACTCCCAGTGCAGCCAGAACCTCGATGAATGCAGGGCTGCCGTTACATTTGACTGGGTAAAAAGGTCGGACCAGAGGCAGGGTGCTCTGCCAAAGAACATGCTGCTGCATCAAGGCCCCAAGGTTGGCCACAACAAATGCATTCTTTTCAGCCTGAGGACAGGATGAAGGACAGAGTGATCTACCAGCAATATCAATTAATGGAAAAAGATGCCATGCACCATGTTCCACTTTCATAATGCAACTAGTACATCACTATTAAACAGATTAATGCTGGGTTCCACTCACCAGAGCTTGTTCGTAAATGTGGTTGTCAATGACATCTTCAAGGGTTGTTCCTCCATCAAGCAGCTCAACGATGTAGTTTGGTTCATCAATAAATCCTTTCATCTCAACCGTAGTCCGCAGATCCGACAATCATAAAGAGAGTTTACTGAGCCTTTGGGGTCCTGTAAATATGCAACAAACTGCAAAGAAAAAGAAAAACATTAGTCTTCTCCTACGTTACTGGATAAACATACAACACATTCTAAATCTGATAATGTTGATTTGTTTCGTATGCACTAGCCAACGTTTTCCAGAAGACCGATAATGTTTTTATCCTCACTTCATTTTTGATATTAGGAAAATATCTTTGTATGTTTGTTTGAAAGCTAAATTATTTTCCAAATTATTTCATTCCATTATCATGTTACTGTTAAATAAACGTAACATACTTTTTCCACTCTCTTAGCACATATGTAGTGAGTACGTAGTGAGTACGTAGTGAGTATGTAGTGAGTATGTAGTGAGTATGTAGTGAGTGTTTTTGGCTGGTTTTTTTTTTTTGGTTGTCTGTATAACCTTGAGCTTCAGTTGTCAACTGTCCACAGTCTACACTTACAAAAGGCTAATAAGCTCAAAGAATGCTAAGAATGGACAGAGTGAACAAGTTTACAACAGCTATACTTTTTGAATGATGCCACACATGATGAATTATATCAGTTTACTGTGCTGTTGAGTGCCATTAACTTACTTTGCATGACTAACCAAGTTATTAATACTCAGGGACCACTCACATGGACAAGTTGGGAGATGGACCTCTCCCGCTATCAACTAGGATCCCAAGGTGGCTCGGCGTTGAAGTCGAACTGCTCGCGGTAGAGCGCCTCCCCTAGGCCTTCTGGGTACCTCTTATACACTTGCACAGAAAGAGGGGAGCCCTGTCGGTGTAAACAAACAGAAAAATTGTGTGTAAACAAACAGAAAAATTGTGTGTAAACAAACAGAATAAAAAAAAATGTAACAGTATAGACTCTAAACAATTGAGACTACAGGCACAAACAGAACAGTTGCCAAAAATTTCAAGAGTCTGAGCATAACACACAGGGAAACTAGAACATACAAACAAGTTGGGCTAGCATAAACTATGGGTCATCTAGTTAGAGTAACAGTCCTTGAAACTGTGGAACTGCACAAAGCTCAAATCCCAAATTAAAGCTTTCTGATCAGGGCTTGGGCTGCAACAGCCTCACGGGTTTTGGACATCAGCACAAAACCTGAAATCTTGAGGTTTTCTCTGATGCTGTTTGGCTGGATTTCAAAAGATCAACCACAAAACCACTGGCTAGATACCAGCCAAACGTTACTGTGCTGAGATTACAGAGACTGACACTAAAGCATGCAAACACTAACATGGTCCCTCACGCAGTTAAAAAATTAATTCAACCTCCAAGCATTAAGGATTCGATTTTTTTGTTTGCTTGCACAAACTACCGACCTATGCAACTTTGCGCTTTCGGTACCTCATTTTTGTCACTGCTGAGTAGGAGAAACTAGGCACCCAGACATTAGTGAAATCACTCAGATGCTGATTTGAACTGGATTACCATTACCAGACCCACTGAGACCTCTGAGTTTGGTCAAATATACTGGAGGCAGTTTGAGTGAGAATTTTCTGAGATTGCAAACAGAGTCGTTCACGTTTGCAATGAGTGATCTTTACAAATACTGGATGGCCTGATGTCATTTCAGTCCTGTCTAAACAGACCTAAGGATTACTCAATGTGGAATGAAGCCTTGATTTGGAAACAGTGGTAACTGTATCAGACTGTTAGTAGGGTAACCTGTTGAGAACCACGACTAGACCAGCTTTAGAGCTTTAGAACTTGACCAGCTTTAGAGCTTTAGAACTAGACCAGCTTTAGAGCTTTAGAACTAGACCAGCTTTAGAGCTTTAGAACTTCTCCATGACGTTACATTACAGAGATACTAAAGAGTTTCCACTTTAGGAACTGACACCTACAAAACTTTTCTAAACACAACTTTTTTTTTTTTAGCAGTGATCTTAGTACTGGGCAGTCATACGTCTGCATTCTGGGCATGTTTAACTGGGCTCACATACAATGGAAACATAACAGAAAATGAATAAATACTTTAAGAAACCACCGTACTGTGTTATACACCTCTAGCAATCAATGTTCCCTGTTGTATAACATTCCTGTAGTACCATTTTATAGTAAAATACAATACTTGTGTAGTATCCTTTAGTAAAACTCATAGGAATCGTGAACAAATTCCTGTAATATTAGGCAATTATATCTTTTTCATCTGGTTTAAGTAACAGCAAATATTTCTCAACCAGCAGTTACATTTGTGTGTTGCATTATGAAACTAAAGTGAAGATACACACTTAAAAAAATGGTTCTTCAAAACGGTCTTTAGTAAAGGCAAAGGTTCTGTTTAGAACCATGAGTTATACACAGAACCATTTCATGCTTAAATGGTTCTTTTGATGGTGAAATTGTTATACAGATAGAGAATGTGTTGTATATGGTTCTATTTAGCATCAAAAAAGGTTCCTCTATTATTTACGACGTCAAACTTGTAACAACCATTGCCTTTACTAAAGAACCTTCGAAGAACCATCGTTTTTTTAAGTGTGTAGTGAGCCAAAGTAACCCCAGGAAAGAAAACAACACATTCGGCTAGTTAAAGTTTTGCCTGCATAATAAAATGTTGCGCAACCAACTAGAACATTTTGTTTAAGTCCACAAGGCACGTAACGTGATTGAGCGAGTTCCACTGACGGTCTGACTGACGTAGGACCTCATTCACTCCAGGCAGTCCCTCCCTGACCACAACACACGCAAGTTAATCCTGAAAACAAAACTTCTTAAAACCCTACGGATCAGGAAGGTATTCAAACTGGAAATAAAGAATAAATGAAACTGGCTCCATATCTCTTCTTCATCGTCCTCTAAACCCTTGAATCTCCACCCGCCGAGTTACACCTAACGCAGGTCACAAGCGCCCGGATTTACACCAAATGAATCAAAGGCAAAACACGAGGCTGAAGGTGGCTTCCTATTCGCCACCTTCTTGTTCCAATTTTCCCGTTCCACCTTAAAGGGTGCCTGAGGCGCCAGAATGTAACGTTAACTGCTTCCCCACTTAAGGTGGAACGGGAACACTGGAACAAGAAGCTGGCGAATAAGAAGCTTCGTCGTCAAAGCGTGTCACATTTGTTCGTACCCAACACAACAACCGGAGCCACATTCAGGTTTACAAACATCTAAAAACTACTGCCATACTTTAAACTGAAATCTCTAATCCTGATTTACGTTTATAGCCGTCCTACACCAACCAACACGCTGTCTGTCTCTATCAGCGAGGGAGAACAGCAGCAGCCGCCGCCATGTTGTAAACTGGTCGTTCCCTCAAGAAGCGCAACAACATTAGCGGGGATGGAGTCCGCGAAAAAACGGCGTACTTACGTGAGATAACGGCCTGAAAGATTTGGAAAATCGTCTTCTCTTTTTCGGCGGAATTTTTAAAGAGTGGTGGGGACACTGGTATAAGAAAGAAAAGAGGCTGCGTTTGCCATATGCCTGAGTAACGAGAACTATAAACACACTGTCTCCCTCTGCACGGCTCGGCTAACGAAGAAATGGCAGCTCTGGCAAGGAGATCAATGAGGTAGTGGGAGAGTCTCCGTCTGTGGGCGGGGCCACGTAGGGAACAGCCAATCACCTTACACTTTCAAGAGGCAGTAACGTTACATGACTAAAGAGCCAATAATGTTGGGCTCCTATACCTAATAAGGCTGTAACGTTACAATACTAAAATACAATAAGGTCAGGCCCCAGTACCTTACAAGGCAGTATTGTTATAATACTAAAAAACAATAACATTGGGCTCCAATACGAAATAAGGCAGTAACGTTACAACACTAAAAAAAACAATAACGTCAGGCCCCAGTACCTAATAACATGGTAATGTTACAATACTAAAAAAAACAATAAAAACAATAAAAAAACGTCAGGCCCCAGTACCAGAGCCGTATAGAGAGAGAGTTGTGTCAACTCCGTTCACTCCAATGGACCATTTTTTTACAGCAATGGCAGATCATGGAGCCTCTCAATAGTTCCCGGAAGTTAGCAGCAAATACTAGCAGCGTGGCCGAGTTGCAGCAGAATAGAGCGGTTGTGATGCACTTTTAAAGGGTAAAACATTTAAAGAATCAGTTTGTACATAATAAGCACATCTGAATTAAATTAACATGTATATTAAAGTATGTCAGTGGATTATCCCTGATTAAATTAGATTTAAGAAACATTAACAGATAACAGATTAGGCTAGGGTACTGAGTAAAGTTAGGAACCCATAATGTGAACCATAAACAGCCTAATTGTAAAATCCCTGCTCTTAATGTCGTTTCATCCACCGTTGTTGAATCTTAGAAAAGGCTTCTAAACATGGTTTTTTTACAGGGTGGGTGGGAGTTAAATATTAGTTAAATATAACACTGGGGCAGAGCTTGTACAGTGGAGGTGGAGGAGATAAAATGGGAATATCGTTATCCATTTTGGAGTTCGAGCTGTAATGTAAGTTATACAATAAAAAGAAAGAGTTGCTTTTCGTGATACGTCACTGTTGATGTGGATTTAGAGCGCATATTGGAGACTTTAAAGAGTAAACAAATATAAGACTTATGGATTGAGTGTTTGCAGGCTTTGTGATTCTGTTGACTGTTTTCTGTACATCATGTTGCAGTTTAGTTGATTTTGGATTAATGGCAAGAACCACGGGGGGATTCAACTCAGCCTAGAGACTCCCTACAATAAGACGGCACCCCCACCCTGCACCCTGAGTCTCAACTCCCTGGGTTTTGCAATTCTTTACCTGTTCCTTATTTTTAATAAATAAAACGTTAAGCTTCCCAGGTGTGTGGCTTTTGTTTGTGAAACGTATGCAATGTCACATTGTTATTGTTGTAATCTTTAGTGATGGTAAGTAATTTAGTAATTGCTCCTGCTGACTTGAGCCAGCAGTTTTTTCTTCTCTCTGTCAGTGGAGAAACCAAACATTTTCACTCCTTTCTCCGAGCGATTGAAGCATCTCCATGCAGCAGAGCAAACCATGCTGGGGCTATATGCAAGGACAACATGGAGAAAAGGGCACAGACAAACTGCCTGCCAGGCTATTCATGTTTGAGTTCGTTATAGCTTTATTTAATGAATCCATCGCAGTAAATATGTGCATAGTAAAAAGACAAGATATATAAAATATGTTTATATGTGTACAAAAATATAAATAGATGTGTTTATTATGTCCTGTCCTGTCTGGATGTGATGTGTTTAATGTACGCTTTTTAATACAGGTTTTTTCATATGCAAGCCAAATTTCTTTGGCTCCTTCTCCTTCTGTCCTTTCGGAAAGTCATAGAGTTTACAGTAGTCATCAAGTCATTAAAATTGTCTAGGCCTTGGGATTACTGAAACAACCATTAATTAAAGATGTATTAATGTTAATTATATTTATTCATGTTGAAAATTAATCTGATCTCAATTTTGAAACATTCCTTCCCCTCCCTCTAAGTATATCAATAAACATTAGGATATGACTGATCTTAACTACCATACAGGTTTAAGAACACAATATCTATAATACTGAAAAGTCAAAGCAATGAAACAACGAAAACGCACTTTGAAACCATGTTCACATTAACCTAACGTGTCAAAAAGGCAAGTAACGACAGCTGTTTAATCTTCAAATAGTACCCAATTTGACTTTAAAATATATCATATTGTAACTACACACACGTCGGTTTTCTATAGAAATATTGTAAATCAGTGCATTTATTGACTTTAAGGTACCAAAAGACGCAGTTCTATCGCTGAGTGTTTATTGGTTTAAATTGCCCGCGAAGAACTTCCTGGAACTATCTGAAGTCTACGTTAATCACGTGAGCATCAAGCATTTTGAACTTCCGTTGAGGCTACTCTCTCCCTATACGGCTCTGCCTAATAACATAGTAATGTTACAATACTAAAAAAACAATAACGTCAGGCCCCAGTACCTAATAACACGGTAATGTTACCATACTAAAAAAAAACAATAACGTCAGGCCCCAGTACCTAATAACACGGTAATGTTACAATACTAAAAAAAAACAATAACGTCAGGCCCCAATACCTAATAACACGGTAATGTTACCATACTAAAAAAAAACAATAACGTCAGGCCCCAATACCTAATAACACGGTAATGTTACCATACTAAAAAAAAACAATAAGTCAGGCCCCAATACCTAATAACACGGTAATGTTACCATACTAAAAAAAACAATAACGTCAGGCCCCAATACCTAATAACACGGTAATGTTACCATACTAAAAAAAAACAATAATGTCAGGCCCCAATACCTAATAACACGGTAATGTTACCATACTAAAAAAAAACAATAATGTCAGGCCCCATACCTAATAACACGGTAATGTTACAATACTAAAAAAAAACAATAATGTCAGGCCCCAATACCTAATAACACGGTAATGTTACCATACTAAAAAAAAACAATAATGTCAGGCCCCAATACCTAATAACACGGTAATGTTACCATACTAAAAAAAACAATAATGTCAGGCCCCAATACCTAATAACACGGTAATGTTACAATACTAAAAAAAAACAATAACGTCAGGCCCCAGTACCTAATAATGCAGTAACGTTACAATACTAAAAAAAATTAGGTTCCAAGCTGGCATTTCAACGTTTATTCACGGTTGAATCAACGTCACAGATCATGGTTGAAACAACGTTGGATTATGTTTCGATTTTGAAAGATGAATCAACGTTGATATCGCGACGTTGTTTCAACGTCTTACCTTTCAACGTTGAGGCTGCCAGATAGCAAAAATCAGTTGGGCCACATCTCGGCCGAATAGTGCATACCGATCTTAAACCTCGATTGCCGAGACTTTGGTTTGTATCTCCGCCCAATTCTGGCCTAAATGCTCGGCTCACATTTCGGATACGTTGTGCTATTAATACTCCCAGCTAGCAAAATATACTCAATTTACTTCCATACAGTTTCTGCATAAACCTAAATCTCTATAACTACATGTACCTCAACCAAAAGCGTAACATTTGCTAAGATGTAGACTAACATTCACTTTTATTCTGAAATAGCGTAACAAAATCCAGACAACAATAAAAAGAAAACCAACTGACCCAATAGCCAATGAACACAGTAAAGCACAGGTGAACACAGCTGAACAATCAATAGTTTGTCACAGTTTTAATATGCATCATCATCTAAGTTAGTATGTACTGTATCATGCCTTGTAAAGTAACACATCCTTAAAGCTCACCTGTTTTCACTTGTAAGCATGCATGAATTTCAATGACAACACTAGAAATGATTTGGAAACAACTGCTTTAATTGTCTTACATAGATATACAATACATGCCTACAACACTAACAAAATGGAATAGTCAGTACATAAACAGTTAACATATACCAATAAACATGTGTTAAAGAAAAATACACACGAAACTGAAGTGTGCAGTACACCACTGTGCTTTATTTTACACACACACACACACACACACTATCATTTACAGCTACCTTGTATTCACTCATTTTCCATTTAATCAGGTTCACCAATATGTGAGTACTTTGTAGCTCTGCAATTAGAGACTGTAGTCCATCTGTTTCTCTGCACACTTTGTTACCCCCCCTTTTACCCTGTTCTTCAGTGGTTAGGACCCCCATGGACCCTCACAGAGCAGATACTATTTGGGTGGTGGATCATTCTCAGCACTGCAGTAACACTGATGTTAGTGTGTGTTGCGCTGGTCTGAGTGGATCAGACACAGCAGTGCTGCTGGAGTTTTTAAAAACCTCAGTGTCTCCGCTAGACAGAGAATAGTCCACTAACCAAAAATGTCGAGCCAACAGCGTCCCGCCAACAGCATCCTGTGGGCAGCGTCCTGTGACCATTGATGAAGGACTAGAGGATGACCAACACAAACTGTGCAGCAGCAGATGAGCTATCGTCTCTGACTTTACATCAAGGACTAGCAGAAGTAGAAGTGTCTAATAGAGTGGACAGTGAGTGGACAGTGTTTAACTCCAGCAGCACTGCTGTGTCTGATTTACTCACACCAGAACAACACACACTAACACACCACCATCATGTCAGTGTTACTGCAGTGCTGAGAATGATCCACCACCCAAAAAATAAATGTCCTGGGGGGTCCTATGGGGTCTTGACCATTAAAAAACAGGATAAAAGGGTAAACAAATTATGCAGAGAAACAGATGGACTACAATCTCTAAAGTCACATGGTTCGATTGACGTGCAAATTCCAGATAGAGGGCAGGAAGTGTAAAGCGGAAAACAAGATGGAGGCAAGCCCATACTACGCTGATTTAGACTATGTTACGAGAGAAATGTTGGACAGATGTTCCTTATGTTTTTAAAAGGAGTGTTTTTTTCCCCCAACTGAACTGAAAGACTTCCCAGCTATTGAGGCAGCAGATATAAGCAACTTGTTTGTTCACCCATCTTGTGTTTAACTGTTAACCCTGATTTAAGTGTAAGTGGTGTTGCTTGTACCTTTTAAATATATCACCTGTGCACAGATGAACTGTGCAAAACATATTTTTTGCTGGTGTTTTTGGTCAATTTCT